CACCGAATAATAAAAAGTATTCTAACATAAAGTACGTCCAGGCTCTGAGGAAGGCGAAGTCACCGAAACGTCAGCCATCGATCAATAACATCAAGAACAACGACAACGACAACGACAACGAAGATCTGTACCAACCTCGCGTCAGCTTAAGAAGATCAGTTTATAAGATCTCATAAATAAATATTTCATATTTTATTACTTAGATCCACGAATCTCCCTCATAGAGGGATCTCAAGGCGGTTAGCCGCCAGGCTACGTGACGCGTACCCAGATTCCCTGTGATGTAAGTGGATCCAAATGGTGGACGCCCCGTTTTTGCTGCTCCTATTTCTCATATACTTTCTGTATTTACGAAGATATATTAGTTTATTCGTGCGTGGGTGTGTTTTCGTTTTTTCGGATTTTTTCCTACGAGTCAATTCGTCCAAAACGATATGATCAAATGGATGGGAATACGATGATTGATTGTGATTTCTTGCTATTTTTCAGGTACATAATATCCGCCTACAACGCCAACAAGGGACATTTTCGACTTGAGACACAACGACGTTCTCGCCTACATCAGCATCGCGATCTTCGCGATGATGACGCGTTTCTCGTGCGGGACTAGGCCAAGACTGTATGCTACCAAACTGCGTAGTTCCTCAGTAAAGCAACGATACACTACAGAGCTCCCTCGAATTCCTCGTAGAGTAGAGTAGTGTCAAGTTTATACACGAGGTCTTTGACGATGGACGTCATGCTGAAGTGGAACCAACCACAGGACGCCGATCGGCTGGTGGTCGTCTATAGACCAGCACTGTAAGAGGGAAATTCCGCTCTCAAGTCACCGTTCTGGTAGATAAACTAAGGGATACGAGTACGCATTTCGTTCGAAACTCTTCGATGAGTGCTGATGTGTGCGAGGGACGGTGTCTTGTCACAACTGAAATGCGCCGGTATGATAAGTGTACTGAAATTGATGAAAAAGTGATTCTCGTCGAGGGCATTATTGGTGGATCTCTATGAAATGTATAGATGTCAGTTGCCGCACAACTGGGCTGGTCTGGATTCATGCCTTTTCTGTAAGTGCTTGCTCCATGCTTTCGGTCTTAACAATATCGACTGCAAATTCGGACAAGCGGAGGTGTTCTTCAAATTTGGGGAATTTGTTAAATTTGATCGGTTACTTCATCGATATCTGGCTCATATTAAGGTGTTGATCGACAAGGTCAGATTGTGGCTACTAAAGACCCTATGGAGAAAAGCACAGTATGGCGCATGGAGTGTTACAAAGCTGGATAGGAAAACCGCTTATCAAGCTCAACTCATCGTTAGAATCCATCCTCATTTTCGCGGCTACATTGTTCGCAAGCAGTTTAAGCCAAGGCTTGATCTGTATTTGAAGGCACTGAGCTTACCGAATCGCTCATACGAAATGGTATCAGTCATCAATCAACTACCACCTAGTGGTCGTGAAAAATGGGCAGGACCAGTTCGTGATAAGACGAAAAATCTCGAGTCTCGTTTACAGCATTCGTCTTGGTAACTAATTCAAATTCGACGATGAAAATAAGGTGAAGAAGATATGTAATGCATCTGAACGACAACCAATGGACATGAGCCGTTAATGATTAAATTCTTCGGGATGTCAAAAATACTGCAGGGAGACCACCAACCCGATGAACAGAGTTTTTCACGAAGACCCTGGAAGAAGGATATGATGCTCAAAGAGTCTCTAGAGCGAGCAGAACCCACTGGGCTATTCCTGCTTGCGACAGGGAAAAATGGAGATTTACTGGCGTCCGCTCGAGTCACTTGACGACCAATGGGGCGACTGGTGCTACAGGTGATGTTAAGACAGCAAGAATCGTGGAGTCGAACATGTGAAAACATGGTTGTCCTTCTTCCAATACTCTGTCAGCCCAGTTTAGATGACCCAAGTGAAGAGTTTATAGAGGACAGACGGCAAGCAGATTGGGCGATAGTTGCTAACGTCGTATAGGTCATCCTTTTTGAAAAACAACAGAGTGATTTTCCATTGAACAGTATCCTTGCATTCCGCCAAGTAACGTTTGAAGAGCCAAGCCAGTATGTTTATGACTGCCGGAAGGTTCTTCAGGTGTTAGGTCGTACTCTGTTCGGAGTAGATATTGTTCGACACGTTCCGTGTGCTGCAAAAGACCATAATTTCTCCCCGGTTTAGAAAAGATGCACTTATATCTTGCTGGCAATAGTCTTTAGATCCTAATGAAATTTATTTCAATTACTGAAGTTAGCTGTTTATTGATATTATGATGGGAGATTTTCGCATATTTACGAAATGAGTTCTCTAGTTATACACGGGATGGGAGTACTGGGTGAGAAATTGAGGGCCCTATCACTCTCATCGACCAATGTCTTATTGACGGCAAAGTGAGGATATATCTTTCTTGAGCCCTCAAGAACATTAATATCTAGTTTATTGGTCTCACTTGGTACTCGGTACTTGAATGGCCCGCCCTTGTTATGTGGGCCCCAGCACAATTTCCCTTTTTCAAAGATTTGCTGGTTAAGCCACTGTGGTTCACTGGAATCCTGAGGACGGCCTGGCCAAAGTCTGTTCCGGGTCGCCACTACCACAGGCAGTCGCAGCCCTTGTGGATCAGAGGGAGGTTTGTCACCACGTGACTTCGATACCAGGACGGTGGTGGATTCTAGTATTGGTTTACTCTTAGTTCGGCTTCCTGATGGAAACACCGGACTCCTTCTCAGCTTGGGAGACCCTGCCAAGGGACGCCCACCGCTGTACATCGCAGACCGACACCCAAAACACCTCCCAGTCGCGATGATGCGATAAACCGTTGCGAGAGTTTATTGGTCAGTATCTTCATACTGTAATACTCATGATAAGTAGCTGAATTAAGACTTTCATAATTTGATCGTGATGGCAAACACATAAAGCAAATGAGCAGTGCATCATAGATACTTGCAAACATAATCATCTTGTACAGGAATTCCAGCAAGACGTGATAAGAAATCATCTCGATGTAATGTAGAGTTACGTATTCCGGGATGCTTCTGGGGTGTCTTGTCCTGAAGCAACCATTTCAGATCAGACTGGCAGCGAACCACACTAACACAAGTCGATAGCGAAATCTCTCGAAGTGCTTTTCAGCACAAATTTTACAGATTCTCAATGCAGATCCCAAGTTTTGCAATAGAATTACAATCAACTTATTATCCTAGAGCAGAAATCTTCCCAGAAGCGGGTTAATGGAAGCAAAATGTCCTCCACGCAGTCCTGTACTAACAAGTTAGATGGTTCTACTTATTCTTGTTATATGTTTAATCACAAAATAAAATGCATTACAAAATCCCGGATGGAGAAATTCATTACTCTTGTGAACATGCTGGCAAAATAGAAGAATGCTCGACGTCGCATGTAACCATACATACCATGTAAGAAACACCGTACACAAGAAGAAAAGCTAGCATCAACGCACCGTGTTTTTGGATTTTAAATTGATAACCCTAGTGACGCCTTGAAATATTCTAATAAGGCAATTATTACTTTTCCTGTAACCTAATACGCGACCTAACGATAGATATCGTAAATACAGATGAGAAGAATAAGACGCTAGAAACACAGAAGGAAGGGAAACAGAGGTTGAAAACGAAATCCACTAATCTATCCGACTTATGATTTCACTGAGTATTAGTCGAAAAGAAACCTGAATATTATCACAAGTTACACAAACACACACTAACTGTGGAAGCAACAACATCGTGCTTGTAAGAAGTTTGCTAAGAAATACAGTACAGTCATAAAACGATATACACCAACATTTCAAGGGCACCGCCCTAAACATAGCACTAGGCTAGCAGAACAAAATGTTGGTATGAACAATGTAGAAGCAAGGAGGAATATAGAAAGAAACAGTGAAGAACAGTCAAGCGAACAATACTTATTTCTTAATGGCAGAAGTATACAACTATGTACACTCGTATTCTACAGCAAGAAATACAGAAAGAAAGCTATTCTATATACATGTGCGAAATTGATTAGCACTGAAAGCATGCAAAATTAAAACGTGAAAAAATACCGTAATAGAGTTAGTGCTTCGGTATGTACATGTATGTGAAGAATATTAGTTACTAAATAGTAAAACAGAAAGCCGCCTGCTACACGTTCGAATATCGAAAAATCCTATCGAAAGTCGTCAAAGTCGAGATCCTCTTCATCAACGATCGTCTGTGTTCTTAACGATTTCCGTCTAATACCAGGCGATGTGTCAAAAAACACTTCACCAGATCCCTGCTGAAAAGGACAAAATCACAACATCGGATTATTGGCATAACTGCTCTTTCTCCCTCTCTCTTTCTCTCGTTATGTAAACTAACTTTACATTTGAACAGCCCGTCCTCACTGGATGTGCGGGCCCCAGCACAACCAACATTTATCGGAGATTTGCTGGTTAAGCCATCGTGGTTCCCTGGAATCCCGAAGTCAACCTGGCCAAAGAATGCCCCAGGTCTTCACCACGACAAGCAGTCGCAGCCCTTGTGAATCAGAGGGAGATCTGCCACCATGTGACTTAGATACCAGGACGGTGGCGGATCCTGGTATTGGTTTACTCTTAGCTAGGCTTCCTGATAGAAACGCTGACTCCTCAGCTTGGGAGACCCTGCCGGCAGGATGAATCCCCCGCTGTACATCGCAGGCCGACACCCAGGAACACCTCACAGCCACGATGAGGCGGCAAACCGTTGGGAGGTATATAAGCTAAACATGATCCAACTAGATTTGCGATGCTTATGAGCGATTGTGTTTCTTTCACATCTACCACAACTCAATGCTTCAGCTAAATAAACGTTAGTTGAAAACTTAGCGCGATCAATAAAATGGAATCACAACAGCTTGCTACTTTGTTCAGTTGTCTGCTAACATTGAAGCATTACATAAGCCACGATGAGAAAAATTTGGATCTTAGTCCCCCACAGAAGGAACGAAATAATCCCTTCCAACGACTTAGATAACAGTGGATCCTAAAAGTCGCGAGAATATCCGCAATGAATAACACGTAATTCAAATGAAAATGAATTTTAGTCAACAAGGTCGTGCTTAATCATGTGTTTAACTGAGCATAAGCCCTCGAGCGCCCCAGCAACGATGCCAAGATCAAAGTTCACTACTTAGACTCTTCGCTTGTAGAACTACCGATTTATTGGTACATCTTGTAATAGTTCCCAGAATCGACTTTCTCTTAACCTCGGCATTGAAATATGAATGTGTCGTTTTCTTGTTCAGCAATCGCGAGGTTTTTAAACAGCATACATTTACTTCCATAAAAACACAATACAATACAACGCTAGCTGACGTTTCGGCAGTATCGCCTTCTTCAGAGCCGCTTTTTCGTGACTTCCAATGAGGAAGTTTAAAACAGCTGATTATAGTCGCATGTGGTTGACGACTCGACAGTCGGCTCTGAAGAAGGCGATACTGCAGAAACGTCAGCTAGCGTTGTATTGTATTGTGTTTTTATGGAAGTAAATGTATGCTGTTTAAAAACCTCGCGATTGCTGAACAAGAAAACGACACATTCATACCGATTTATTCTTAAAATCTTCTGAACTTCTTCTGATGGGTGGTGGTAAATGCCTGCTTTCTGGCAAACCAATAAAACTGGTGAGATTGGATCCAATATAATGTAACTGAATGGATAAATAGGCGTGCGAGCAAAAAAAAGAATACTTGCGCAACAAGAACAAATCTAGGCACTTACTGTTATCATTGGGAAGTACATAGAATTACTTAAACAAAACGAAGAGACTTTAACGTATAACACTGACAAGATTTTAGAAAACACACCTGCTCTTCAATTTCAAGATCGCGCATGGCATCGGCGATTTGCCCGGTGATATCACCACTAGTGGTTCCTGAATCTCCCATTGCCATCGACACTTCACTCGCCCATGAACCGCACTCGATACGAGTTGCTTCGCTGTTAGAGCAACTATTTCCAGCGCCTAAAGTAGGTTTAATAAGGAGAATAAGATAAAAATGCGTGACTACTAACCATAACCTCATAAGTATTACTTGGTGGAGAAGTGATCATGGACTTCAACTATAAATTTTAATCTTAACTCTTTTATTTACTGCCTTTTTCTTCTTAATGGCAGGTTATGTTGCGAAATATAACTCGTATGAGATGCTGAGATATTTGCAAAACTCCGGACCACAGGTGTATGCAGTGGGGAACGAACACGCGCTGTTGTCCTTACCGGGGAGCAGCGCACTTCACCACTACACCATCCTGGTCCTTCGCTTTGCATGTATCTCAGCTAGTTCTATCGATCTTTTTGCCATCAGCAATCACCCGTCAACGGGATTGATCTGGGGAGCTAATATCGACATTGAACCCAGTTAAGCTGAGGCTTAGTTATAATCACAATCTTAACTCTTTTATTTACTGCCTTTTTCTTCTTAATGGCAGGGTATGTTGCGAAATATAACTCGTATGCAATGCTGAGATATTTGCAAAAACTAGCTGAGAGACATGCAAAGCGAAGGACCCGGATGGTGTAGTGGTGAAGTGCGCTGCTCTCCTGTAAGGACAACAGCGCGTGTTCGTTCCCCACTGCATACACCTGTGGTCCGGAGTTTTGCAAATATCTCAGCATCTCATACGAGTTATAAATTTTAAAACAACATCAAGGTCAAAAACAACTTTATCAGTCAATACAAGAACTACTTGAATCTGTACTACATTTACTGACAGCAACGCAAAAGCTTGCTTAATCCGGTATTACGACACTTTTCACTTCTGAAAGTGTTAGAACCTTCAAAGCTACTTCCATTCTTAGCCTGGTTGGTAAAAACTTTTCCTTCGAAGCGACGGTCACTTACCAGACGACACCGAATCTTGATTTTACGTCTATGCCGGCTTTTTACAATGGACTATGGATATCGATAATCAAAAGATTTAACGGATCCGAAATCCGTTTTATGGGCATAGATGGTACAGCTGTTTCTATTTACTGTATGTTACTATGGCCTGTCATATAAATACATTGCTGTCTGAATTCGAAGGGTGTTGCAACTCATGCTGTGCCTACTTCTACACTTTTATGCGCCGTATTCCATACGATAACTACAATTCATCACAGCGATTAGATTTAAAAGAACAGTCTATTATTCACTCTAAAATTACTAGTTATTAAACCTGCTGGAGAAAAAGATTTCTGTATACTTATAAGCGCAGAAGAGAGCTTTCCCAACCCGACCCTCTCCAGAACATGTATGCTCAATAAGCAATTGAATGATTTCAATAAGTTTGGCAAAGCAGCTTTTTGCTCTAAAACAAACCTCTGAAAACAAAATAACTTCTGTAGAGACTCCCGCCTTTGTGTCCTCTAAGAAATGATTTCTACGGAAGTAACTGGGTCGTTTAAGGTTAGATGAGCAGGCTGAGCTTCGTAGCACAACTCTTCAACTTCTGGAACGTTAGCGGCGCCATGTGTGGTACAGCATATTTCACTATTTCACAACTATTTAAATTCTAATTGCTATAACGAATGATATTCATCGTAGACAGAGCGTGGGTATAAAAAAGATTAAAAGAGACACATAATATGATGCAAAACAGTTCCAAATGTTGATAGCAATGTGTTTGTACAATAAAAAAACAACAAAGCTCTCGTCGTTGATCAATCCCTAAAGGATGGATTTTACTTCATTAAGCATCGTTGGAGGCGATTCAATGCATATCTGACCTTTCCAATGACTCGGCGTGGCCTACCGATGTATCGAGCCAGTACTGCTATCATTTACAGACAAGTTTGGCAACAATTTGTCGACCCCGGAAGGAGGCTCGGTGAGCTTGCGGATGCGGGAATCGATCCCATATGCATTGCGGGGCACCTCTGACCGCTGCGCTACACTTACCCATTTGTTTGTACAACGGACATAGTTAACAGCAACACTGTCCATATTCACAGAGCAGAACAACAAAGTCCTTTACAACCCCGCCATGCTCACAGCCCTTCAATTCACCCAGTTATAGAAAAATTATAGTTTAAGGCCGAAAAACTTGAATGTCCGTAATAGTTAAAAATTAGAAATGGTAACGAAAAAGGTAACGAGTTTTTCATTTCAGTGTCTTCAAAACGATTAATAATTGTTAAACTGTAACTGATGAGTTTTCCTCCATACCCTAAACAATTTTTGGAGCCAAAGTTTTGATATAACGGAATCCAGTTGGTCATCTTCAAAGACGTCCACCTAATAAAGCAAATCATGCGATTTTTGTGGCATAACAGTATCATTTAAACTGATTCAAAATAGCTGAAAACTAAATTTCAGAAAAACTGTTATGTGGAAAATTGTTAGGGAAGAAATAAGCTATAATATGAGACAGAACAGGAATATAAATAGGAACTAGTGATTAAGAAATATATTTGTAAGTTTTATAACGACAAAATACTCTTAACGGTTTACCGCCTCATCGTGGCCGGGAGGTGTTCCTGGGTGTCGGACTGCGATGTACAGCGGGGGATTCATCCTCTGGCAGGGTCTCCCAAGCTGAGAATGAGTCCGGTGTTCCCACCAGAAAGCCTAGCTAAGAGTAAACCAATACCAGGACCCACCACCGTCCTAGTACCAAAGCAGTTGCATGGTGGCAAATCTTCCCCCGATCCACAATGGCTGCGATTGCCTGTGGTGGTGAAAACCTGGGATAGACTTTGGCCAGGCTGACCTCAGGATTCCAGGGAACCACAATGGCTTAATCAGCAAATCTCCGAAAATTAGATATTATGCTGAGGCTTGTACAACCAGTGAGGATGGGCCATTCAAGTATCCAAGTATTCAAGTAAGTATAACGAAGTATATAACGGATACGCCAATATTTTTGCATCAAGTGGAAGATAGGTCAAAGTGGTTCTGATAAGAAAATAAGAGCGGTCTCCAAGATTTATCCTGGATGAACACTCCAATTTAGCACAAAAGAGTCTTGAAACCTTGACAAGAAAAAACTCATCACAAGAAGTTCCTGAGTGCAGGAAATAAAACAAATTAAAACATAAACTCAACGAGATCTGTCAGTCCACTTAACTCTTCGTACATGGTGAAATAGAGCAAACCTTTCAATATTACCCTGAATATCAAAGTATACCTCCAATTACAACAGGAACCGATTTAATGGACGATAACGAATGCCGAGATTCCGACGGTGTCATCTGAAAAGTACACGAAATAAGCTTTACGATTTTTCAGAAAATGAGTGATTTCCTAGCAGAAAAGTAAGAACTTTACTACCATACCAGTTCAGCACTGACGTTTTCTTCACGATACTCAAAAAACTTGAATTGTGGACCCATCCATAAACGGCGGTGTGGACCGGAGTATGTACACACCTGCGAAATGGCATAAAAATATGACCATGGCAATAAGACTGGGTCAGTAGAGCATACAAGATTATTAAACCTACCTCAACTTGTGAAATCCACGTGTCAATCTCCTGTGAGGCACGAGGATGTGTCTTGACGGGGACCAGCCAACTCAAGAGAGGACTACCTGGGTGAAGTGGAGGCGGCATATCTGGGTTATTCTTCGTTCTGTAAAATAAATGTAGCCGTTATAGTACAAGAATTCTCTTACAGGAATTTCACTTCGGTGTAATCTTGTATTGGAAATTGGTTAGCACAGAGCAGCTAGAACAAAGCAAACGAAACGCTTGTAATGGAAATCTGATAACCAACCTCTGCAATGTCCACATTGCTAATGGTGTAACATCGATCTCAGGTGGATCTTCGCAGTTCGTTGAACTGGGTCCGTGCGGATGTAGTTCATATTCACAGACTACGCCGCCATCAGCACACGCTATCAAAAGCGATTGTGAGCGAGGCGAAGCGGCCGTACGACTCGAGAATGCCAGCGAGAAGCGCGTCAATTCGACGTTTGTCCTTCGTTTAGAGATGCTACCAGAACTAACCGCCGATAATGCTAACGGTGCTAAATCTTTGCCCAGAGCGATCAAGTTCGTAGCGCTCAACTGCGGCTGAAATGCGGCTAATACAAAATGTAACACTGTACGAAATTTCCAAAACGAAGAACCAAATAGATATCCATTTTATCAGTCAGCATCCTATGACTTACAAATTAACTAGGGATTCTTAGCAATTTGAATTTCCGTAACGGATTCTTCGTGCTAGCTTATCACAATCACGCTATAGGTTTAAACGAACCCGTATTTTCTTCACCGAATCAAGTAGGATCGTTGGTGGATAAGGTCCGATTCGTGGATTGGCTGTTGAGCGAACCACTGCACGGTTCCATATGCACGGATGTTCACTAGACAAATTTTTGCACTATGACATGAAACCTTGTAGTAAGGTTTTTATAAAAAACTATTATTCAACAAATACTAATTGTCGAACTTACCGAGATAACGGGATGTTCCCGCTGTGACTCCGCGTACGTGGGGGTAGCACGGTCTGTGTGTCAACACCTCCAGCCAGACCAGCAGAACGAAGAAAGCGCGAATCCCTAAAAAGCAATATGTAGAAGAAACAAAACAATCTATAGAAAAGGTTAGTGAAATGATTTATGGACATTCTGAGTCCTCAGGTTCAAATAAGAACAATGATAAAGCACTAAGGCGAAAAGTATTTACTTATTAGTAAAGTGTTCGCCATGTGTTCGGCGTGTTGGCTTTCCACCATACGGACTAATCGCGAAAACATGACAAGTTCCATGATTTGTGAAGATCGACACCCAACGACAGTCCAACGAGAACGCACAAGAAACCACCTTGAATGTTCAAAACCGTAATACTTGATCGAAGCAGTAACAATTTACAGAAAACAAGTTTCTCCTCAAAGTTATCAACCCTGTTATCAAGTAATTCCCACGACCGACTTTCTATTAACCTTAATTAATTTATTGGAAAATTTTTGAAATTCTTGTGGAGCATAGGAACTCACAAGAAGCACTCAACAAGAACATAGAGAATTATGTTATCAAGCATTTTGATCGTGTAGTACCGCCATAACTCAAGCTAAAACATGAACCAAAAAATTAAGCGCTGATAAAACTTGGGTGGTACAATTCCTGGCTACTACACATTGAAAGGATGATACAATTGCGTAAAAAAGTAAAAATTAACGAGAACGGATGAACTATCAAGAATTTTAACCACAATGACGCTGAGATATTTGCAAAATTCCGGACAGTAGGTGCCTGTGGAGGGGAACGAACATGCTATTACCCCTTCCGGGGGTTAACGGGTTCACCCGAAGCCCAGGGAAAGGTAATCGTGGATCCGAATCTGGCCTGGTGCCGAAGATTTGCAAATACCTCAGCATCACTGAGATTGTATGACCGTCTAGGAACAACGCAAAATTGCATAATATCCCTGACGGTAGAGAAGAGGGTTACTGCATGAGTTCGGGTACGGTTTACCTCTGCTCTTACCACTTATACGTCCGTATAAATGAACAAGTTGCCGATAAATTTAAAGTTAAACGAAATACTCCACTAGGTGCTCATAGGATATAGAGACATAACGGGGAGATTTTGAAGTAGAACTTAGTATCCTCACACGGCAATCGCAAAGTTCAGAGCGCAAAACCCTCGAAGCATTGAGGATAAACTTCAAGAATCCAAAAATGAACAGCAAAAAAGGAATTGCCACGACCGACTTTCTATTAACCTCGGCATTGATCAAGTGATTTTCTTCGTATTTTTGTTGAGCAAACGCGAGGTGTTATTATTCTTTGTTCACGATTAAGTTGACGTTTCGGCGGATTTCGCCTTCTTCAGAGCCGCTTTCTATGAGGCTTCCACTAAGTATCATACGTATACTATACCTATACTTAGTGGAAGCCTCATAGAAAGCGGCTCTGAAGAAGGCGAAATCCGCCGAAACGTTAGCTTAATCGTGAACAAAGAATAGTAACACCTCGCGTTTGCTCAACAAAAATACGAAGCAAAAAGGAATGCCTCACAATCATACGTGATCTCACACAGCAATTAAAACTGATGTTTTAATGTGAGAGAGGCATATTACGCTTACACATGAGTTATTTTCAATACGACTGAACCACCTTATCGTAGCAGGCAGATGTTCGAAGGTGTAGGGCTGCGACGTACAGCGGGGGTTTCATCTCTCGAGCACAACTTCCCTAACTGGGAACCAGTCCGAAGTTTCCATCCAGAAGCTCAACTAGAAGTAAACCAATAGCAGGAATCACCGCTGTTTTGGTACCAAGCGAAGATTCGATTCAACCATAAGCTGGAACAAAACTCCTGTTGTCGTCCATGAAAAATGAAACAAGTCATGAATCTCAGACCAGTAGAGGACTTCTCGCACAGTTTTCGTACACATGAAGAGTTACCTAAGAAATCTCTACAACTGCTGTCCAATATCGTTGTTGATTGTCCTCTACGAGCTATTCACGAGGATTATCCTTATGCGGCTATCGAAGACCCTATATGAGGTACAACTGGTTGAACAAGCAGGAATCTGGCAATCACGGGTTATACAAATATAATGGGAGTACTTTCCGCCTGCTGTCCTAAACTTTATCGCCTAACAAGAAACGTTTGACACCATCTGAACGATTGCAATCCTATCGGTGCTCGTAAACCGAGGAGTGGACTGAGCTTACACTCCAAAGTTAGCTGACTCTTATCAGAAATGAGGCACAAATACACAACTTTTCCATCAACACTTCACCATGCACGTAAAAAAAGGGCTTCGACAAAGTGATATAATATCGCCAAAGCTATTCACCGCCGCACCGAAATGAATAATGAAGTCACTCGATTGGGATAAGAAAGACATGCGTATTGATAGAAAATTCCTACGAAATCTTCGTTTTGTGGATTACACCGTCATCTTTTCTAGGAGTATCAGTGAATCATAAACGACGCCCAATAAACACAACCAAGCGGGAAAACGACTGATACGAAGGCTAACGAATAGAACTGCAATTGCAGAAACCATCTCGTACATATACCTTCGATGTTCAGTGAGAATGAATAACAACATGAAGAAATTAGGCAGAAGGAGAGCAGCATGAACCTCACTTGGGTCACTCAAACAAGGGATCCACGGCGTCCAACACCACTGGGCGTAACAATGCACGTAGTACTAAGAATGAAATTTTAATGTGAGAAGCACATTATGCTTCCATGTGAACTTGGTGCTCTGGTCTCCACTTGAAATACTCAGTGGAAGAATTAGGAAGACGGTGAGTGTGCAAATAAGCCATTTTGTTTTAGAGCTATTAAAATCTTGGTTTGGTATGTTCCCTGTTTTGTTTGAAGGTGTTTACCTCGGTAGGCTGCAGTCAAGTTGACCTTTTAAGACTCTGAAGAAGGCGAAATCGGTCGAAATGTCAGCAATCGTGTATTGATAGATGCTATAATGATGAACACCTGTTCGCTCATCAAGAGAAACAGTGAATTATTGATCAATACCGAAGTTAAAAGAAATTTGGTCTTTGGATTCGTCACATGGAATATGTTTAAAACTAGAAGGAGAAATTATTTTCGGACAAATATCTTATTTGTATGGTTCAAAGGAAAACGCATCTATTGCTAAACAAAAACACGTATTCTTCTGTGGAATACAAGATAAAAGAAAGTAGAAATAAAGATAGATAAATGGGTGAAGTAATAAGAAGAGTTAGGAACGAAGAAAACAAAGGACAAGAAAAAACACTGAAGTGTAGCTCAAATGTGAACGCACGCTTCCTCAAATGAGGTCAGCTACAAAACAGGGAACAGGGAAGTGTTTGCGTAAATTTTTTACCAGTAAGACATCTTTTGTACCTGACAAATGAGAACGAGCTCTGGAATTGTGAACGGAACTCGCAGAATTTCACCGTGTAGGATAATGGTAACATAATGGGGGCAGTGCTTCCGAAATAACGAAAGCAATGCAAGAAATTGTAGTGGAATCAAAACGACGACCCAGAATGGATATTTGAATAAGCTTAAAGCGTAACAAGGAATCACAAAAACAATTATGATTTCGACTAAGAGAGCACAAATCTGCAACATCTCTGCTTTGTTTAGATATAAAAATTGTAACTAGTTTAACTTTACTAAGACAGTACGAAAGCGCTTAAATTTGCAAGGTAAAAAACAATAAAAACTTAACCTTTGCTATGGTAGTCCCACGACGTAAGCGATAAAGATGGTGCACAGCTGATAATAATGGTGTGTATGGATGTGTGAGCACAGCAAACACATTAAATGCACATGCGGAAATGTCCGTTGTTAGCAGAAGACGTCCATCAGGAGACCACGACATACTCGCTAACGGTTCATTATGAGCCACGAAATGTGCTACGGTAGCGCACCCATCAAAACCCTTGAAAAACATAGTTAGAGGAATATCAGGCACAAGCTATAACATCATAGCTCACATCTTCTGCTTCTCGTTCAAGATCTATCACTGTCACAATTCCAATTGGCACTTCACCGGCTTTTACGCCACCAACGCCTGATACAGATGATGTCACTGAACGAGAAAGGGCCTGAAAGCAAATGGATGAGCACTATGATCTCTAGTCTATCTTCTATGAGATTAAGGATTTCGCGCAATATGTACCGCAGATAAGCTTTAACACATTCTAGCTTCAACCAGCAATGTTGCTAGAATAACTGGAAAAACAAAAAACAGAAAGAAATCTATATGCTCGCCAGAATCATAGAATTGGAGCTAGAGTACTGAAAATGCGGCGACTTAGTACAAAAATCAATATAGGAAAACGCAATCGTCTCTTATTAGACTAATATGACGACGTTTCAGTGATAGCTTCTTCTAAAATTATTGTAGAACAAACCTTTGCAACACTGAACACCTGGTTGGCATATGTGACAGGTACGTCATCAATGTCAGTGTTCATCCCTCCACAGCTTTGTATGTCAGGATTTAGCTAAAACCAAAATTCGCTGGAACTATCAAAGGAAGAAAAATTGTTACCTTCAAATAATTCTGGATTAATACCTTGAAATCGGCATACGCGATGAACTGCTGATTGAGTGCAACGGCAGGAGTAGACGATTCTGGCGGCTGAACAACACGAACCGAACGCATTTCCGTTAAAGTGACAACATCGTAGATAACAAGACGAGTTGACAGAGACACGACCAAGTACCTCAAACATATCACTGAGTGTGGTCTTAAGAAATGTTCTTTTAGATAAACTTCGTATTTAATAAACAGAAAAGAGTATAGAGAAGTAATTGAATATTTAAATGGTTTTGTGTCACCGTCTGAGCAATGAATTGATGTCGCGCAAGATCTTTCCCTGCAATCTCGAGATGGCCATAAGGAACTTCTACAATGTTCACCACTGTATAGCAGGGAAATTTGCCACTCGGCGACTGGATACCAGCAGTGACCCGCTCTTGTCTGAGCTTCACGATGGAAAAAAAAGTAGAAAAAATCCTTATTCCATCACGAAAAGGTAATAAACAAGTAATGAAAATGTTTGAAATTCAGCACGCGTTAAGCCGGGCACTTTAATGCTCGCATACTCACATAATTCGAATAAACTCAGCATTTGCAGGCCATTTACCATCACCAGATGTTTTAAAAACATGAAACAATTCCTTTGTAAAAGGTTACACTACAAAGCGGCCACGTTTTTCTTAGAAGATTAACGCGACTTTTCCTAGTTTTTATGGAAAACTAGGCGTTGATCAAGATGTACTACGATATTTTTGAAATAATACAAAGAAACTGTCGCATCAGTTCCTTCTTGGATTATGAAATTAACGAACCGACGATTGATTAATTTCACAAATTGTTAGCTTAACAATTCAAGAAGGCGTTGATTACTACTACCGAGGTTAAATGATGGTCCGTTTGAAAATAACTGTCGCATTCCTTTACCAACTGGACATCAGTTGATAAGATTTCGAAATCTTTCGTTCAAGCCACCACAAGGACCGAACACTACAGTGATGAATATCTGGAACACCTTATCGTCGTCTTCCCAGGATTCCAGAACCCCCATTCAGAAAACAATAAACATTTCGATAAGATGTGAGAAAGATTAATCCTCAAGTCGCCGTAAATCCTACACGAAACGGAACCCCTGCTGAGCATGTCACATGAAAAGGAAATAACGGAAAGAAATGTTGGCACCATGCACTTCAGAACAGGCCACCAAGCATTCAAGTATAGTTACTCTATAGTCAAATCAATTCCATATCGTTATAACAGGAGTATGTTATATCTTGAAATATTCCGCATATCTAATCAATGTATGGAATTAGTGTTGCCCTAAGAGTATAGAAGAAAAAGCTTTCGAGTGAAAAGATATGAAGTAAGGATTACGGAACTGATCAAGCCAAAGCCAAAACTTGTTAAATCATACCAACCTAGCCGCAGTATTCAGTCCACACACTTGTTCCTCGAAAGAAAATCTACGAACACCTTTTCCGTTGCTCAACGACACTACGGATACGGAACAATATTGCCGATCTGGCACAGTCGTATATGTGTCCACCATGGCCACAAACGGTCTCTGCTCGGCAAACCTGAGAAGTTCAATAAAATTAGGATTTGCGGTCCACTTCTGAGAATCTCAGAACGAAGTTCGGTTTTCTACAAAAAAAAATCTGCAGTAAATATGGCCAGGAAACAGGATTGAGAAATTGCAAAGCTTACGTGTCTACTTCACCGTTACGTAATTCGAAATTACTGGGCAAAGGAACAAAAGCTCGAATTGGTCCCTGTCGCTCCGACATTACTTCCTCGCAGTCTCCTCCATTCTTAAACTTTAACAAATAGATTCTGTACGTACTCATTTCCAGAGATGTTTTAGGACTTCTCTAATACGAAATGTGAAGAATCAGAAATATATAAACCAAGTTTTTTAAAAGTAGTTACTTTGTTTGAGAAGAATCAAACCTGCAATCCACAAACAAGTTCCTAAAATAAGATGGCTTACATTAAACGTCCACACTTGAAAACCTCTAGCCAGTCCTAGGACAACGAGATCCATTCGCTGTCTGGGTTGACCAGCTAGAAATGAAAAGCTACGATGAGTTTCATCGAAAGCGAAATACAAATACCACTCCAAAATACGAGAGACCAAAGACATCGTTTGTTGAAAACTATGCCAATTATGGGATGAAGTAGCTCTCACAAACCTAGCAATTACTGGGTCTAAAATCGAATCATCCTTATGCCACTATGGAAGCATTTTAGCATAAAACAATCAGTTTTTACTTTGCAACGTCTGCATCATGTTATGTCCTTTAAATCATTGAGTAACTCGATCGGGGTATACCCAAACTCTGATTGTTCCGTCGAGCACTGCAACAAGCAATGAGCACAATTCTCTCAAGGAACTCAAGTACATTTATGGTACGACGTCTTTCTTTAGACTTTGCCGAGAAATAAACCATTGGTTGTTCACCATGCTCTTCGCAATGGTTTATTTTTGGTAAGGCTTTTTCCTCACGATGCTATGAAAGCAGTAGACAAACAGTGGATTATTTGGTAGAATGCGGATTACACAGATAATAGTGTCGAGTTCAGAGAGCATCCCATTATTGTGACCGTGCATACATTACTGGTTTAAGAGTAAATAGCTTTCGATAAAGTTTGATTAGAACTTTTCAATTAGCTGCACATCAAACATGGACTTTAAACGCCGAGTCGTAATGAACATCTGTCATAAAGAATTCGCACTAACAATAGCACTGCCATTTATACGCCTGGATAAGCAACCTTTCATGACCTTCCATTCTCAGCACCTCTTTCATTCACTACGCATCTCTGTAAAATGAGTGACTACGAACTTAAGGCCAATGTTGCTGTCTCCTTGCAGATATTCAGAACGCTTGTGGAGCGTGGTTTTCACTTACGAACTGAGAAAGCCATGTTAATGATTCGGTATTCATCACAGGTACTACTCGACTATATTAGGATTGTTTTGCTGTCCTGCAAGACGGATTATAAGAAGGCACCGATCACTTGAAAATTATGCAAGAAGATTAATCCCAAAATGTACACTGAGAAAACGTACATGTACAAAAACCAGAATAAAAGTTGCACTTTTTAAAGAAATAACCTTCCAGGAAATTAGATTGGCTTAAGATTCTCACCTTTCTCAATACTGTGTAGTTCAATCCATTCAACTTTTTCCACTGTGTGGGTCTGCGAATGTTGTAATGTGACGTCATGAACGAATTCTACCACTGTTGACGAGAAAGATGAGGTACTAAAAGAATTCTCCCTCTGGAATTATTTCAGTAGAACTGTAAGCTCAAATTTGAATCTTAACTAAACTTGAAAATTGAACAATATCAACTCATAGGCTAGAACAAATCAACCAACCCTTACAGGGCTGACAAGAAAACACTACCGTGGAAGTAATAGCTACACTCACGGAACTGGCTGAGTACGTGCAACTTGGCCTTTCGAGTAGTTGAGACTAGAAGTGCGATCCCGTGAAGGCCGTGGTGGTGCACGCGGTGTTTCTAGAGACACTTCTAGACAGAAAAGAAAGCTATTCACCAAGTTTAAATACACCACATAAACCTCTAAACATAGTGACCGATGGAGGACTCTTTTGAAATCACAGTACTACCAGAACGGATTTATGTGTAAACTGACGGCTAATTACAGCACTGGTGCTTGGAGACACAGCTAGCAGAGAATTGATTATTTTGCGCCATGCTATTCTTTAATGTTGCACGAGTCAACGAAAAAGCAAGCATTTTTGAAGAAGGCGCTGTTTGCTTTTCAAAGAAACGGAAACGTTGAAAATCCTCAAGCAAGAAAAGTAGCGATTTGAACAGTTTCATAATCTTAAGAGGAAGGATAAATCTAACAAATTTGTTTGCTAACGTCTTTCGATGTAACGACTTCCACCTTCCCATTTGTTGCACTCACTAAAAATTGGACAAAATGGTGAAATACTACAAGCGTTGGAACAAGGCGGAATTGACAGCGATTTTGTTCGTATTTTTTGAGCAAACGCGATGTGCACATTATACTTCCACGTGATTTCTGTGCGGTTGGTCTCTACGTGACATACTTAGTGGAGACCTCATAGAAAGCGGCTCTGAAGAAGGCGAAATTCGCCGAAACGTCAGCTTAATCGTGAACAAAGAACAATAACACCTCGCGTTTGCTCAACAAAAATACGAAGAAAATCACTTGATCAATGCCGAGGTTAATAGAAAGTCGGTCGTGGAATTGACAGCTACAAAAAAAGAGGCATTGTTGCAATTCAAAGCAACTTGTTGGGAAACTTTAGCGCTAACTCCAATATTAGGGAAAATATTCTACCAGAATCCAAGAAGACTGTTTTAAATTTAGGAAGACCGAGTTGGTACCAACAATATTTGATAGGCGACTCCCATAATAGATACCTCTAGAACGATTTTCGTACCATAAACAACTATCAACGACTAATAAATTTCAAGTGCTTTTCACTTTTTTATGGAACGGAATTCTGAGGGGATGCTAGAATTTAATTATAAGCAAGCTAGAATTTTGTTGCTTTAACGAAATTTTTCACTGGGACATCTCAGGTAGTCGCCGCCTGATAGATTTCTTCCTGGACACTGACAAATATTACCAGCAGGTTATTTGTAGAAAGTATTCTCTACCTTTAGGAATATTCTCTGTCCTTCAATACTGAGGTATATTTATTTCGTTCTTTGTGTATTGTCCCATGCTCATTAATGTCATCTATTATACTTCGAAAGTAACTTCTGCCATAAACTTTCCTCGATCGTTATATATCGACTTCGTAATCTCTACATATACTTTTCCAAAACAAATCTCTAGTGGCCTTTAGCACAGCAGCTCTAGCCACTCCATGAGCACTAATTAAAGTCAGTTACTGATTGGCCACCCTATTCCTGAAACCTGCCACGATGCCACACAGCTATGCTTTCCTTGGCCGATGAAGCACAATACCAGCACAATGTCATTCTTTTACATTATTCAAGTACTTAATTATATAAGATTCTTCACCACTATTAGCTTTCGTCGTTGTTCATCTTCGCTTGCTGACAATATTTTTATTTGCTAACTTTTTTACTTACTGCCCATTACAATTTTTCACGACAGAGTATAATGTGAAGCACAACCACGATGATGCTGAGACATTTGCAAAACTCCGGACCGCAGGTGTCTGCGGTGGGTATCGAACACACTATTACCCTTTTAGGGAGAGGGGTAACGCGTTAACCACTACATGTGGCTCCTTTGTTCCATATTTTTCTCAGCTTTCTCCCGGAAATTTTTTTTCTAATCCCCGGAAAGGGTAGTAGCGCGTTCGATCCTCACCGCAGACACCTTCGGTACGGAGTTTTGCAAATGTCTCAGCATCATAATACTTATATCCTTATTTGTGCTTTTAATACCTGCATTACTTCATACCACCATTCCGTTACTTTTCCTTGTTGTTTATATAAGGGTTTAATTACTCTAGTTAGCGATATCCAGATGCCACATAATAATAGAGCAGCATGGGAGGCCGACCTAACCATTATAAGTGAAGCACTGTTAGTTCATTGGTAGAATGCACGCTAGCTACGCAGACGACCAGGGCACGGCTCTCGTCCAGTGTATCAGTTACGGTGGCTTTAGTTCGTATGTAAGGCCAGAAGAAGACAAGTGACTACCACACTAGCTAAACCTATTACATTATTCTTGGCTAAAGCTCTTCTACTTATCCTATTTCTTAAGTTTTCTCAAATATGTGCAAATTCCAAGACTCTATGTGGGAATCGAATACGGGTTTACCCTTAGGGATGTCTCAGCATCCTTATGGCTGTATTTCATATAGCACCTTTTCATGGAAAAAATGTAGTGAATGAAGTGAAGACGTGATTTCGACTGCAGCTTCAGCCTCACTGAGTTCTATGCAGATTTGAGCTCCACAGATCATTCCCGTTCACGAGTGATTAGTGACAGCACCGATCGAGTAAAAACATGGTTGAGAGATGGGGCTTCGGTTGGCGTGCTAAGCAGTATGTGAGCTCCGAGTAAGAGTAATCGTAGGCTCGAAGCTTACCTAACGTTCCGGGTTTCATTTGAACTGACACGAGGTTAGTACAGAAGTTTCACTCGACTAATGTTTCAGCGCCTTCGCCCTCCTCAGGGCCGTTGTTGACCCGAGTCGATATTCCACAGCTGGTCGTTGTCATGTGAGTAGAATCCAGTTGAGGAAGCACCGCTCGGATGGTTAGCTTCACTCGGGGTGTCCTTTCATGAAACACAGGTGCTGATCGATTTAAGATATTGCTTGTCCTTGCTGTCCTACTTGCCACTAAATGAAACACCGACTGCTACAGGACGTGCTGCACGCCCAAGGTAGAACACTTTAGAGGCGAAAATCGATAAACCCCAGTCCTGCATAAAAGCGCAAGGCTGAGTGAAGTTCACCATTCGAGCGGTGCTCCCTTCACTGGCTTCGATTCGATGCGACTACAAATATCCACATTGCGACAACGACCAGTTGTGGAATGTCGCCTTGGATCAATTCGGCTCTGAGGAAGGCGAAAGAACCGAGACGTTAGCCGAACAAACAAAACTTTTATACCAACCTCACGTTAGCTCAGTTATATAAAAAATTATTGATTATTGTTACCGAGGACTTAACGAAAGTCGGTTTTTAAGCCATTTTTCAGGATTTTGCTCATATTTAAGCATCCTTACGGTTACCCTATTTCTTTATCTAACAACTATTCAGTTTCACGAAAACGGTAAACCTTAAAGAACAGCAGATTCGTGAAAAAATCTATTAACTCTGTGTCACCAATCAAGACTTTGTAAGAACTCAAGCATTCAGTACATAATAACAGGTTTTATTGAAAGTGCAGGTCTTGCAGAACTGGTAGAAAGGTAAACCAGAAGACTAGAAAATCTGGATCTCGCGAATGTAGAGATGAGGTAAGAAGACTTGATGTCTTCGAAAAGATGCTAATCGCAAAACCTTGGGCTGTCGTCTACATGAGCTGTTGTATTAGAAAAATCCACATACTTGTTCAGATTACAAATGAAAACATTAGAACCTAATGTTTCCAGATTAACCATTCTACATAAGAGTTTCACTAACGTTTTCTGTAATAAACAGACACACACTGGAAATTTCCGAATAAATCAATATTCCGTCAAAACACGTTTTCCACCACGATTCTGCAAAAAACATGAAGTAAAAAACCCATCATTAAAAGTTCGCATATTGAATATTGACAGCGTAAACGAGTTTTTTTTGCCCATCTAACGGTGGTATGAAAGGATGGATACATGACAATCCAGTGGGCTAAAGATATACGGCCGATTGAGCGTAAAAATTGCACTATATGAAGGAAAGGAATGTCACGCACCATTTCAATTGCTTATGTAATCGATTTTTCACGAAATTAACAAAGCACCACTGGTAGAATACGAATAGAACGAATTCACTGAAAACTCTAAAACCGCAGAGACAAAGCACTTACCCATGACCTTGTCTGTGTTCAACGAAGTCACGCCAAAGAAAGGAGACTCGGCAAGAAATAGCTCTTCAACGTCTCCTATCATATCACCCTTGTCAATGGAAATAGTCGTGCACTCAGCGTCAGCGTCGTCTTTCATAATAGCCGTTGCCGACAAGGACAACCCCAGAGACGGTTCGGGTGATGGCAATTTGTGCGGTTGTGGATGCACCTGAACACACGAATCAATAAAGCATCTCCTCGCAAAAACACTAGAACCATCGAAGCCGGTCACGAACGATGGAAATGAGTAGGATGAAGTAGTTTCACCGCAATCTATGAAATTTTCAAACGTTTGAACTGACTACGTTAACCACAGCAAACAAAGCAGAATTCACAAACGAAACACCACAAATACAAAGGAAGAGTGAAAATCAGGTATAAAAGTGGACTTTGATGAAATTTCGCGTAAAACTTTGTCACAGTCACCCCAGCACTCCATTATGATGGCTTCACATAATGCTTCTATTATTAATATTAATTTATATTAATAAAAATAATATTACTATTATTAATTTTTATTGTGAACAAATCTATTCGGCTAGAATTTCAAACGGCATTATGAAGACCAGACTACAGTCCATGCAATAGCAAGTCACACTATTTACCATAGTACAACACTGAAAACAAATATAACCATTAAAATTCACTTGCCATTTTTACCTATCTGATAAAACTGTTTACCTAAACCTAATGAAATCTTTTCAGGATTTCCGCTAAAGAAGTCTCTAGTACCGAGAGGTAAATCAGTACTAGCAGTTCGGCTTACACAACTCAGTGAAAACAACTGAAAACAAGGGAAACGAACTTCGGGAATTTTGCAAATGGGAGTTCACAGTACGGAAACGAAGGAAAACGACAGAATTCTCATGCGGAGAAAAGTAATTATCGAAATCTGTCAGTCATAAATCCAACTGATGCATAAGAAGTGAACACAAAAAAGAAGTCAATGCAGAACTCTGAACGTATAGCAGTTACACTCTCATAGTTACCAGACATATGAATGTTCATAGGAACAATGAGAGATTTCAAATTGATTTGACCCGAGTAATTCAGAGGGACATAAAAAGTAACTCATTTCTATAAGTGCTGGTTACTGAAAACAATGGAAACAAACCATAGAAACACAGACACTGGATCGTGACCATCTCAATAATCCTATATTTAATTAGTGGAATACTTGCATAACATGTCTTCACTCACTATGCTGCTTCGACGTAATCGCGATTTGAATGGAACTTCGCTAGACGGCCAGCGTTTTTTTTTCAGTGAGATGGTATCTGGCCGTCAGCACGTGTTGCACTTATGTATTAGAGGGTGGTTTTGGTGTGTTGCGACTACAACTTTTCCCATGATAAAGAGGATTCTTCGCCTAAGTTTCTTCTGATTGCGAACATCTAACTTATCAACATAAAAAGATCCTTCCGTAGAATGAAACACTGTACAATCACATTTCGAGACCGAGAAAAACCCCACCGTCAAGAGGAAGCGGCAAAATATTGAGTGCACAAGCGTTTCCAATAACCATGGAAAAGGCTAGACGCGCACACACATGCATAAATACATGCATTTAGACACACATATACGTGCACATATATGCACATATATATATACAATATATGTGTATATACACATGTAGACACATACATACACTCAGTTATATGACTATAAATATGACTACAAACACAAGAACATTATAATTTCAGTTCGATCAGAATTCTTTGAAACAGGATAATTCTGATAGCTCCGGTAGACCGAGCCGGAAACAGCCAAACATATATCGAGATTCTTCGCAAACTTTTCCAGAAAGTTTCATTTCTAGAAAGATTAATAATTGCCCTCAAAAGGTATGGATGATTAATAAAAACATTAGTTAAATGTATTGTACCAGATTGGTTCAAACTCACCACTACTCCATATACTTGAACTTGATACTTGAACGGTCCGTCATCACTAGTTGTGCGGGCCCCAGCACAATCACCATTTTTCGGAGATTTTCTGGTTAAGCCATTGTGGTTCCCTGAAATCCTGAGGACAGCCTGGCCAAAGTCTGCCTCAGGTCTTCACCATCATAGGTAGTCGGAGTCCTTGTGGATCAGAGCGAGATTTGCCACCATGCGATTTTGATACCAGTATGATGGTCGATTCTAGTACTGGTTTACTCTTAGTTCGGCTTCCTGATGGAAACGCCGGACACCTTCTCAGCTTGAGAGGCCCTGCCGAGGGGAACGAATCCCCGATCTACATCGCAGTCCGACACCCAGGAACACCTCCCAGCCACGATGAGGCGCTAAACCGTTGGGAGGCTACTCCATGTTTCACAAAAAATGAAATGAAAATCACTGAAAAATGAAAATCAGAGACTAACTCTATGCGGATTTCATTTTCTGCGAAAAAAAAAGAAAGTTACACCAATGCAAGGCGTCCATCATTCCCCATTAGTGCAAACGCACTAAATTATTCTCTTCTTTCAGTAGAACAAAAGAACTCAATCTAGGAGCGACAAGTGCCTCAGGGAAATTAGTTAGGTATAAATCACTTAACACAGATAGTTTCACAGTTTTACAGCTGCATTAAGTCTCAAATAGACGAAGGTGTTTTCTACAGCGCCTTTCTCGGCGTTCAGCTTCAAAACCTAGGTCGTAGGTTTCAGGTTACGGATGTACTTTACAGAATATTTGATATAACTCTTTACAAAAAATACGGAGTTGGCCAAAACGTAACCCATAATGAATCATATATTATAAAAGAAACAAATATTAACCTCCCATGAGCTCATTCGAACAGAGCAGTTTATCTCAAAGAAAAAAATAGCCCTTCACTAATGCATGAATGAGAACACTCAAGATATGAAGGTTAAACCTACTGGTTGTATAGGTTGGGATGACTTCTCCTTCTTCTTCTTCTTGCCTATGCTAGACATGTTGGGAGGCATCTCCTCCACAGACATGCAAGCTACACTCCTGAAAAACTTACGTACAAAAAATATGGGATATTTTGCTACCCACTCAATAAGAGAAGCACCGAGGCTCAATATTGGACATCTATTTTTCAAAGCGACCGTTATTTAACCTCGGCATTAATAACGAATACCTTCTTGGATTACTAAGCCAAGCTATTAATAATCCAAGAAGGTACTAGACATTTAAAAGAAAAACGAGGCAAATTATTGACGTAGGCAAATAACTGAACAGTGTCAATTTCAAGATAATCGAGCTTCTTTCAAATTCCAAAACAATCAAGCTGTCCGAACACATTTCTCATCATGTTTAACTTTTATTTACTGCATATTCTTTCTTCATTCCAGAGTATGATATATAGTGCAACCATTGCTGAGGTGTGTGCAAAACCAGGCTCAAGTGCTATCCACCATACCAATCCGGAAGATCTTGCTTTGCGTTTCTCTTGATCAGTTCTTTCTTAAACCGTCAGACTGAAAAGAAAAACTTGCTGAGAGAAACGCAAAGCAAAGATCTCGGTTGCTGATGTGGATAGTACGTGAGCCACAGGAAAGGGTAATCGCGAATTTGAAGTTTAACTGGGGTTTCGAGTTCTACCGGTGGCTCGGCATCCTTATGATAGTATTACATTTCCCGTTGTTCCACCACACTCTAAGTATTTCTCCAGTGTAAATCTGTAAACTTTGCCAATATTTCTCACGCATATATGAACAGGAATACACAGAGGAATGTCTATTATTACTCTTCTCTCCACGTCGACTATTTCAGACCAATGAAACAAGAAAGACAATTCTGAAACACTGGCAGTTTAGGCTAACTGAAGCAATAAAAAATACTTTGTAAACAGGCAAACAAAAATATACAGATAACTGGAGAACCCGATGAAACTGTGAACAAAGAACTCAGAGAAGTTTGCAGGACACCTTATGGAAACTCTGTGATAATATAGAGTTGGTGAATTGAACGACATTTAATCGATGCTTTAAAATCCCATGATATTCGCTGGCGACTGATGCCCCGAGTTGTCGCATCACGCGCACAGCGCCCACCTGACTTCCCCACATCATTGCACATGAGACAATGTCCCTTCTCTCTGATCACTAATAATCGATGATGGTCGGTATTCTGGATTCGTTGACTCAGTCTCGTGATAGAGGATACTTCTGGCAAGATTCTTCGAGATTTAGAATCGCATTTCAACTCTGTTTACTTAATAGTCAGGTTTCCAAGGCACACGTCAGCAAATCAAGAGTCATCTAGTGGAACAAACAGCAGCTGAGTGCGGTGTTCTCTGTTTTCTTCATTATATCTCTAATGGTCTTCTAAGCTTAGTAATTCACCTCCTTACCTTTCCTCTGCTCTGCAGTCAAGTCATTCATCAATAACCAACCAAGTACGTTGCTGCAGTGCGAATTTTTTCCGTTCTTAGCCGTTCGAAGCAACGTATTACAAACTCGATTTATTGCCAACTTTAAGCTCAGCCATTTCAAGCCTATAAAGAACGGACCGATATAAATAAATAAGTTTCGGAACACTATAAAATCTCCACGGTTTCAAAAATGTCCATCTGGTTTCAGGAAAGCATGGGTGCATCGTAGACTGCAAGAAGTATAGGTACTATAAGCATTGGGAACTTCGCGGAAATTTCCTCGTCAAAGATGAGCAAGATTCTGAACGGCTGCCCTATGCTGACGAGAAAGAGCTACTTTCACACATAGCAATCTCTTCTGCTCAATGTAGACGCTAAATCCTTTGAAAGACGTGTAAAATAAAGAGCAAAATGAATAATATGCAGATTAGGCTCTTCTCAAATCCTAAACACAACTTGTGACATCGTGGAGGTCTCCTATTTTGCACACAACGCAATACTACTGGTTTTCCACTGATCCGGAACCCTGCACTTTGACACGTAACGAATGAAAACCCGGTCAGTCCAGTAGCCTGTCTATGAAGACTGGCGCAAAATTCTGCACATGTCGGGTCCGATCCTATAGAGAACGGATGTTGTGCGATTTTCGATCGACAACAGCTTTAAAACAGGGAACTGCTGTGACAATATATTGATTCTCTCGGTGGCATGCCGGCATGAGGACGTGGTCGTCGATGAGATCGGAGTCGTAGATGACGTTCTTCATTGCTTCGAACAACTTTTGTAACTAATTCTGGAGAGATGCTCTTCTCAAATCCTAAACAACTTGTGATATTAGAAGATGAAGAACACGAAGTCCTCTCAAGTTATTGCGGCGCTTGTTTACAGGTTTACACTTCTGTGTTGCTCAAAAATACAAAGGGTATTCATGACCTTGGTAAGAACAGGCAACGCATTAGCAATCCAGTCAATTAGTGAATTAAGCGGAATTCTCAAAGCATTTTATTACCAATATCACTGGATCAACAATAGTAATATCTTAATTCTTTTATTTACTGCCTTTTTCTTTTTAATGGCAGGGTGTGTTGCGAAATACAACTTGTATATAATGCTGAGATATTTGCAAAACTCCGGACCGCAGGTGTATGCGGTGTTGTCCTTACGGGGGAGCAGCGCACTTTACCACCACACCATCCGGTTCGTGTTCGTTCCCCACCGCATACACCTGCGGTCCGGAGTTTTGCAAATATCTCAGCACTATATACGAATAGTAATATCGTTATTCAAACATGAAACACCGTAAACCTTAACAAAATCAATGAAATGAAGATATATCGAAGTATTATAGGTGGATTTTGTCAGTTATAAAAGTGGTACTTTCGAATTTATATTCCAGATTAAGCCTGCAGATAGTGGAAATCGTTGGTTATAACCAACCGGTTTCACAATTCCCACGGCATATCACCGATGTAGGAGAATATCAACAAACTGTCACTAGATGTAAGACATGAGGACTCTAGCCTCAATTTCTCAAAATTTGCGAAGCTAAAGACAGCAAGAGTTCACTTTTTCTTTTCAAAAGCAACGAAGTAGCTGTGTTGTGAAACCAGTTGTGCACTTCTGTGTAGCAAATCAATCCTAATATCCACAAAGAAGCGCCAACTCCCATCCGGGGAATCACAACTTTTTCCACACTTAAACTTACATTTACACCTACATGACTGACATAATGACCAAATACTTGAGAAAATATCATGCACATTAACTTATGTGTTCCAAGGATGTTATGGACAACAATCTTTTTTTTTGTTCACGAGAAGAACGTCCCTCTCTTTTATGCTATCATTGTAGTACATTAACGTACTACTATTTTAACCACCATTTCTACTATACTTCTATCTCTATTGGCGGGTAGTGCAGTGGTTGAAGGAGCCCTGCAACACACATAGGACCATCTCCTCGGCACAGGCTAACCACGCCTTCCACAACTCCGGAGTCGGCGAATTGAAACCAGATTTATCTGGGAGGATAGCAGCACTGGATCGATACATCAGTAGGTCACCGTGAATCATTGTGAAGACCAGATATGCATTCAATCACCTCCAAACGATGTTTAATGAAATCGAATGCATGGTGCATCCCTCAGGAATTGATCAACGCTGAGAGCTTTATCTTTTTCTTTATCTATCTTTATTACTACAGATAGTTATGCCCTCAATTCTTATTTCTATTCCCGCTCAATTTTTCTTCTTAATGTTGATTTGCGAACTGCTGATGCTTCTTACACACAGAGTAAATGTGCTTCACATTACTTCTTTGCATCCAGAAAAGTAATGACGAGGTAAATTCTAGAGGTTGAAATGTCCGTCTGTAAATAACTCAAACCTTTTTATATGACCATGTCAATGGAACATATGGACAAAATCCTTTCTACGACCTGGCTCCATCAACACATTCGCAACCAGCGGTGTTCAGCCGTCCTACCTTCTGGCATGACGGCTAATCTCCAGAATTTACGAACTTACAGGTCTTTCTGACAGTTAATGGTAATTTTCAATTAGTTAAAGACTTAAAAGGTTGTGAACTTCACTTTATCGTCGAAGAAACTTTGCTCTATCGCTCCATGTGTTTAAATAGTATGCATACTATAATCTCCTAGGTGTTACAAACCCATTGCTTTCAGCGTTTGGAAGTGTTTTGCAACTTACGTTGTCTGTACTTTTTTTGTACCCGCCAATCCAACACAGTAACTCTGTCTCACTGCACCGATTGGAATTGAAATCACAATAAATTCACCGGTCAAGTTGTCAAACCGAACTCGTTCGAGAAGTGTTTCCTACATTTCTTTTCCGGAACTTTTCCCGGTCGACATGAGCCAAAATATGTGTTGCATAAACTAAGGACTGATTAAAAGAAGTGTTGGGAAAGGATTCTGCGCCTCAAAATAAACCATCAGAGAGAAAATGACCATCTATATACTTCACACCGGCCACTTGGTGTATTATATAAAATACTTGCCATTCATTATATGTCGATTTCTAGGTTACCCAACACAGCAGCTATTATAATTAAGCGTGGAAAACCATCGTGAGATAAACCAGTTCTGTGCTTCGTTTAACCGAAAGGTTTCAAACACCAATAAAGACTCGTTGTTAAGAAAGTTGTCAAATAGAGATGTGACTGCCTTTGTGATATCACCAATACATAAAACCAAGACATCGCTGATGTCCTAGGATATAAAGGATAAAGGATAAAGCTCTCCGCGTTGATCAATCCCTGAGGGATGCGCCACGCATTCGACTTCATTAAGCATCGTTTAGAGTTGACTGAATGCATATTTGGCCTTTACAATAACTCGCGGTGGCCTACTGATGTATCGAGCCAATGCTGCTATCCTCCCAGACAAGTCTGGTAACAATTTGCCGACCCCGAAGGGAGCGTTGCCGGGCGCCTCCGACCATTGCGCCATAAGCGCCTCATTTTGGAATGTACACACACTAAATCTTGAAAGATAGATTACCCATGTTTAGTACATCCGAACGGTGCTGATTTCCGAATAACTGCGAACAAATGCTCCACAAGAATGCTTCTGGATATGAAGACCTGACAGACCTAGGGAGACAAATGTTACCCCATCACGCAATATATACATAATTTGTCCGAAATATTATTTCCTTCTTAAATCTACTTTGAACTCAAGTACTCGGATGAATTTCAAACAAAACAAATTTTCAAAATTTACAGTGCAAATGCGCTAGCTGTGTACATTAACAACACACTCAGGGACGTCACCGCTTTTTATTTGACGGCGACATTCGGCTCGCTCTTTCGTTTTGCTCCTCGAAACCAGAGCCTCAATTAAAAACGGGAAGTAGAAAACGCCTTACGGGTTTCGGAAAATGAAAACTTCACCGTGTTAATAAAAAAATCGTGTCCTCTTCGCACAAATATATGTACGACAATAATCTTCAACTTAATTTACAGAATTAATTGCTGAGATATGCTCTTTTGAAGTCGAAAGCCCATATCATTACCGAGCGCACATGTGTCATATTTGACTCATGTCGATGCCGATGTGCTGGACGCGTAGGTTATTTTCGGACAGCGTCACTACTTCTACAGCTACCTTTACGAAGTTGTTTTTCAAAATCACTGCTATTCTGCGATGTAATTCGATTCCTAAAGATGAGAAAAGAAAAAGCGAGTGGAAAGAAATGCTCGAAAAGACGGGGTTATCAGATTAAGGCATAGTCGTCAACTCGAACGAATATTGCTAAGCGATTGGGCTAATTTTCGCCCCAAAAACGGGCGAAAGTCACAATCAACATGGAATTTGAGTAGTTTCAAATGAGAAAGATGTACGTATTTCGACGAATTTGATACCACAATGTAACGTACTTTCAGTAACTGGTCTCCAAGTCTCAAGCGTCTAGAGCCTGTTGATCCCAAGATCGAAGTTATCTCTAGAACTCGATAAACGCGAATCGTTTCATCGGTCCCAAAACTATATGCAAATCCTACTTGCATACAACCCGACTCTCTTCTCTAAAAACGAATGTCGGACATATTTATTTATATGATCTTATAAACTGATTTTCTTTAGATGGTGCGAGGTTTGATCTTCGTTAATACCTTAACGTTTTTCCACCGAATAACAAAAATATTTTAATATAAAATACGTGCAGACTTTGAGGAACGCGAAATCGCTGGAACGTCAGCCATAGACCAACAACACCAAACAGCAACGACAACAACAACGACAACGACAACGACAACGAAGACCTATACCAACCCCGCACCAGCTTAAGAAGATCAGTTTACAAGATTATATAAATAAATATACCAACTATCTATGCCGAGGTTTATAGAAAGTCGGCCTTTTGAGTTATTAAGGTATGTCGGACAGTTTTAATTCGTGCTTTCTTGAAAAAGAGAGAAGGTGGCTGTAACTGTTTTAAAGGACAACTTTATTATTGTTTAAACTTTAGACACTTAACCTTCACAGAGTTACACCTTAATAGGCTGGACTGATCAATAATACACTTGAATATGTCTTCTTCAATCGATTTGCTACGCGAGGTTCTTACCAAAAATACCTGCAAAAGACTGAAATACACCTTATCATGGTCTCTTCTGTTTATTTACTCGTGCCAATTAATGTCAACAAGTAAGGGTTGTTTAGTCCAGATAGCTTAGCTATTTATTTACCTAAAACTTTCTCTGTTCTTCTAGTAAAAAACACTAAGTCGGAAAAATCAACGTGACTAAGACTGACGGTCACAGCCAGTCATACCTTTCCCAAGTCAGCTAAAAGCTAAGAAACTGTATGGTTCATTTGAATGAGCTTAAATCAGTGGGAAAACTGAAAAAATGTGAAAATAAATCGCGTGTCCAAACTAATCGATCCGAAAGCCCTACTCATCTAGCCTCACATGCATAAAGATTCATGGTCCCTTGAAAAAATATCTCGATTTCTGACCTATGAGCAAACATCATATTATCTTGTTCAACATGGATTAATTAAGAAAAATGAATTAGCTACCCTACAAATAAGAACTCGATTAACTCAATCCTAAGAAGAATAGGTGAATCTGACTGGAGAACAACTTTAAGGAGATGAAACACTGATAAATCCATAACAAATGGAAGTGTGCAGAGACTAAAGGACGTAGTGCTTAAGAATCACTCAGAGAACAATCGATAGAAGCGGTCCACTACACCCGTAATCGGGCTAAGTATAGTCAAAAATCCACTGGAAATCGTTGGTTATGATATTTCTAACAGGTTTTAGCACATACTTTCTGGAATAAGAGAACTTATACACCAATGAAAGCGCAAATCGACGAAACCGATGCCTCTCTCACAAATGTCACGGACAATACATCAGCTGATAATACCGTATATAAAGATCCATCCATTCGTTGTAGGGCTTTTGATTGGAATGGATGCCTCAGCGCTGCGGTCGGGCGTGCGTTTGGGAAGCTCCTCACACGTTCTGAAATGTCGAGATTGGCCCAGGTCGTTGATGGAGTTGCCTTTCTTCCGGTCTTTCTGCTTTCAGTTTAAATATGATAAGTGGTTTTTAGCAGTAACACCTTTGTACTTTTACGAAGTACTATTGTATCTAGACGAAGTCTAGGTACTGCCACATCTCGCAGGCGATAGTGCAAGTTTCTGCTGTTTCTAATTCGTGGGAGCTTCTTATCAGTTATGAGATCACGCACAGTCTGTAGAATTGGTGTTATTTCAGATCATTTGAATTTACCAGTCGGTGGTCGACCGTGTTGAACAGCGACTGGATTTGCTTTCATGGCCGATACCGATAAACTTAATTTGGATAACATAATTGCGAGGTTATTAGAGGGTAATATCGTTCCTTGTCTTTTTGGTTTACTTTGAACTTACAGTATGGGTTTTACTACGTTTGCTGGCACGGGGTTTGTGCTTGCTTACATCGCAAAATTGCGCTTTTTACTCTGTCGTTAGGTTAGTATGTGAAAATGGCAGGAATGGAGTCATGTCGCATTTCTGTTTTGTAGTTAAACAGTTTTTAAGTTTCTTTTTCATAGTAAACGGATGATTGATGTACAGTATTTTTTTAGTTCGAGGATCAAAACCTGGGAAAAATGTACAGTTAACGGAGAACGAAATCAAAGGACTATGCATAAAGTCTCGTGAAATTTTCCTCAGTCAACCGATACTTCTCGAATTGGAAGCTCCGCTCAAAATATGTGGTTAGTTTGGTTTTCGAAAGCATAGGTGACGTATTTATATGGTCCATTGAGGGCTTTCAAGTGTCATATTCTACTGTGGTTTTATTCTTATTTTGTTTCATGGTTGTGTTATAACAGGTTTGAGTTCGGTTGGTCAATATTCAGTACATGTTAGAAGGTTTTTAGATGAATTGCGACAGCATTCATCATCTATTTCTAGTTCTAAACCTGGTATTTGTTGGTAAAAATGTCCCTTGTTGAATGGTTTTGATGGATTTTGAAGTACTCGGCTTCTTTATCGTTGTGCCACCAAGCAAGTAATCCTGTGAACAGTTATAAAAGGTGTTAGATTAGTTTGCCTTCATGACTTATTTTATAGTCAGCAAACCATAGCGTGATGGTGTAAATCTGGAAAGTAGGGCATTCTTTATTATGCAGGAGATGTCCATGGTCAGTACTACGACCTCCTAAGGTTGTTCGAATATGGCGGTTTTCCACCGGAGTCGAATTATCTATTCTTAGGAGATTATGTCGACAGAGGTCAGATCCACCTTGTAACGACTTCTTTTCTATTCTTTACTTTTTTTCGAGTACACTTGTTTTGCTATGATACTTACAGACTATTTTGTTATTTTTCAGGAAAGCAGTCTCTTGAGACGATTTGCCTTCTGTTAGCGTACAAGATCAAATATCCCGAGAATTTTTTCCTCTTGAGAGGCAATCACGAATGTGCTTCCATCAATCGGATATATGGCTTCTATGATGAATGTATGTCTTATTGATATTCTCACTCTTTTTTAGGGCACAGCTTTTCATCATTTGTTCGCATCTCTTTATTTCCAGGTAAACGACGCTACAATATAAAGCTATGGAAGACTTTCACGGATTGCTTCAACTGTCTTCCCGTTGCGGCTATCATAGATGAGAAAATTTTCTGTTGCCATGGAGGGCTGTCACCTGATTTGCAATCTATGGAGCAGATCCGTCGTATAATGCGCCCTACTGACGTACCGGATCAAGGTCTCCTTTGTGATCTGCTTTGGTCAGATCCTGATAAGGTTGGTGTTTAATATATCTTACCGATTAGAGTTATAGCTAGGACCTGTGAAGATCATTTTTTTATCAGACGAGTCAGATCGTTGCCAATATGTGAGTTGTTCATAAGGTCTTCGTAAAATCAGGGTGACATTGAGGCATTTGTCTGAGGTCTTCAATTATCTATCGTTACCCTCTAAGTAATATTCGAGACTTTTGTTAAGCTTCTATGCTGTTTTGAGGATGTTACTGGCTGGGGAGAAAATGATCGTGGTGTCTCTTTCACGTTTGGACCAGAAGTGGTTGCAAAGTTCCTACACAAGCACGACCTTGATCTGATATGTCGTGCTCATCAGGTATAGTAAAATAGGCCATTTTGCATATTCTGTTTTTTCTTTCTCGACATGTAGATATTCTGGTGCGGTTAATTTTTCCTTGTTTGCCTTCCTGGCGTTACTATGCTATATCACCCTTTAAGTAGAACTCTAATGTACCAGTATACTACATTATTAGGTTTTCATCTATATAGGAAATAGAACATAGTGCAGTGGTAGTCTGTACTACAAAGCTGATTCTCAAAATTCAGGATTGTTTTAGGTTGTGGAGGACGGGTACGAGTTCTTTGCAAAGCGTCAATTAGTAACTTTGTTCTCAGCACCTAATTATTGCGGCGAGTTCGATAATGCGGGGTCGATGATGACTGTCGACGAGACGCTAATGTGCTCTTTTCAGGTCAGTGTTTATTTTAAAAAGACTGAGGTAGTGTTTTTGAAGTTATATGTGCTTTGGCAGAACTAGGTAATACGCTAATCTTCCAATTTTTACTTCACATGACTTGTTTTATGGGTTGTTCCTACAAGAGTTCAAGCAAATTTACGACATCATGGATTGCTATGACAAATACCGAGAATTGCTAGTTATCACTCTGAAAAATGTCTGTATCCTTAGAGGTTCTTCTAGTCATATGTGTTTCATTTTCTAGAATTTTTGCCAGTTATTCCTTTTCCAAAGTCTTGGAGCAGTTACTCATTATAAGAGTTGGGTAGAATTTCCTCATTCGGGCCCAACACTTGTCTCTTCGCTGTGTTGCAACCTTTCTTCATGAATGTGGCGGTGTGTGACGCAACTTGGGGACCTGTCATCGTCACTTACTGACATATTGGTAGATTGTAGTCATCCGTGAAATCCCGAGATGATCCTAGCAGACCGTTCATATTGCTTCAAATATAGAATTGCAGGCTCTCGTTGGTCAGAGGGAGTTTTGCCGCACGAGTGGGTGAGTAATATATCGGTATCAATCTCCGCATCCTATTTTATCAGCAGTTTTATCACTGCTGTTCATATTGTCATATTCGTTCTTCAGCGACGCTATTTATTTGTCGCTAGGTGTCGTAAAAACCGACTTTCATTGGACTCGGTGGTAATAATCAGTAATTTTCTACTTCATTGAGCTGGAACTAAGTTGCTATAAAACTTTTATTCGTCTAACGTTTCAGCGCCTTCGCTTTCCTCAGAGCCGCTTCGATCCGAACCGATGTTCCACAACTGATCATTGTCGCGATATGGTTTGTTCATTGTCACATCGAGCGGAATGGAGAGAGCGCCGCTCAAATGGTTAACTTCAATCAGCGCACCATTTCATACAGGACGGGTGTTGATCGATTGCTGTGTCCAATATGATCTACCTTGGGCGAGCAATGCGTGCTGCAGCAGTTGGTACTTCATTTTGTGGCACGTACCGTGACACTCAATATCTTGAAACCGCTTTCATTAAGCCTCTGTAACAATAATCAGTAATTTTCTCCATGATTGAGCTAACACGAGGTTGGTATATAACTTGACGTTTCGACGAAATTTGGCTGACGTTTCGGCGTCTTCACCTTCTTCACACTCGTGGTGAACCGGATCGATGATGCACAACTGATCGATGTGGGTGTTCATAGTGCTCGCAGCGACTCGGATCCAGCGGATTATTTCTTGTATGGGGAACTTCACTCAGCGGTGGTCTTTTAACTGAACAGCGTTGGTGTTTCGGCGGGTAATACGTCGTGTACTGCCACCGAGTGAAGTTCCCCATTCATGCAGTACTTCCCATATTGAGTTCGATTTGATGCGAGTACGAACGCTCACATCACGACAGCGACCAGCCTAAACCATCGACTCGGAGGAACGCGGCGCTGAAGACCGCCGTGTCAGCTGTTATGTAGAATGCCATGCTACGTACAGGAAAATGAAGTGCCGACTGCTGCAGGATGCATTGCCCACAAAATGAGGTCGTATTGGATGGCGACAACACATCAACATCCGTCCTTTACAAAAGAGTACCGCTGAGTAAAGTTCTTTATGCGAGCGGTGCTCCTTCCAATGGATTCGACCTGATGCGACAACGAACACGCACATTTCGAGTACGACCAGATGTAAACTATCGCTTACTTGTTTGTCATGTTCTTACGTGATGACTGGGGGGCCGTTCATTTTGTAAATTATTTCTATTCTTTAATAATCAAGTCAGCTTTAAATTTGGTTTTATTCGCAGCACTCTTGGAAAGAGAGGATTTCTACGAACGCAACTTATTCTTGCAGTAGAGAAAAAGCACATTAAATCTATATGCGATATGTTCTTTGTTGAGTCACTGATACACTTCTGAGTAGTGAGTCTTTATTAGTCTTGGGAATTTCTCTTCCGTGTTCTGTGTTGAATATTAGGCTTTTCGCTTTCGATTAGACTGAGTGTTTGGTTATGTTTATCACTTTACAAAATAAAGCAAGTGGTTAAAATCCAATTCGTTTATCCAGTTTGCTAAGTACCTTCTCTAAGCTGAGCAAATTTTGGAAGTTTACGGAAACGGAAGCATCCCTTCGCTGTACCGTTTTGTTCTTGAATAACTTAAGAGGCGTAGTACGAACACTAACGAAGCGTAAAAGTTTAAAAAACCGTGAAGATGTGAACGTTGTTACTCATTACAAAGTGTCTTGCATTTAGTGAAGAGAGTGGAGTCCATTTTATAATTGAAATTACCTCAATAGTCATATGGATCTATTTAACATCTGTACATATGTGATGGATTGTTTTGGACTCAGTTTCTAAAATTGCAGGGCAGCAGCATTACTTTGTGTAGTTCATTTGGAGGTGATATCTACTGCGATTCAAGCTTTAAGAAGTTTTATTTTTATTATTTGAACTACCAATGTTGAGAGTTCTTATGTTTCGATTCTACTCGATAGTCATTTGATTGTGGTAGACGAATTTTAAAGTTTCTTAGTAATGACTCCGTTTGAAGTGCGTGAATTGCAGATCTTGAAGCCCGCAGAAAAGAAGAAGTTCCCATATGGTGGTGTAGGTACAAATCGACCAGTGACACCACCTAGAAATACACCTGCTCCACAACCAAAGAAAGGAAAGAAATGATTCGTGTACATAAGTATTGGACGTGCGCATGTAGTAGTGCGTCAGTGGAAAGTGTAATAAAGAGTTTCTACTTCTTCTCCATGTCGATGGGATTTGCAGTTTCTCAACTTGTTATGCGGCGTTCAATTCTAAGTGAGTGTTTGTATTACTTGACGATCAACGAAGTTTTTATCTAAATCTTGTTTTATTCACCAAAAGATGTTTTGAAACCCAGATTTACATTCGATTGATAGTTGTAGCTTGTATTTTAATACTAGAAGACATACTTTTGGCAGCTGTTGTTACGTGCTTGTATTGGGTGTATGACCTCGTGTATAAATTGATTAAATATGCTCACTTTAGAGGGAAAATCATCGCCATCTCTTTACAGTTCCTCTGATCAAGTTATCATCAACATGATTGACAGAACATCATACGAATTACAGTCTCGGAAGCAAGTACATTATTGGAAATGTTCACTCTAATGGTTCACATTTACACCATTACCTGATTCATTGACATCAACACTTTGAGGGAGAAACGGCAGTGTGAGTTCTAAGTAGTCAGTCTCCTACTTAGCGTATAAATATGCTTCAAAGACAGTAATATCGCGATTAGGATATCATCATTATGGGACAAACCATTGGGAGGTATGCACTAGGAATACAGCTAATGCAATGGCTAGGGGGGAAAATTTTGGAGGGGAGTTATGGTTTTTGTGTGTTCGACTCTTCGACCGTGCGAGACAATTCTCATATAGGACACGGATGAAAACGAACATTACTAACCACTGTTCGAGTTAACTTTGAGAAAAGACGCAAGTGCGGGAAAAACAAATTGGAAGGGTTGACGGATTCCAGCAGAAATTGGTTAGGATACCACTGAAATGGCAATGTAAAGATAGTATTGGGTACTTATGTTTCTTATTTCATGAAATCTGAACATGGATACAAATTTTAACATAGCATGAGCATAATGATGCTGGGATATTTGCAAAACTCCAAACCACAGATGTCGGCAGTGGAGAGCGGGCGCGCTATTACCCTTTCTGATGGCTAACGCGTTCACCATCACATCATGTGGGTCTTTCTTTTTCTCAGTTATTGTTCTGTCTACCAGTACCATCGGCAATCGTCCGTGTACGGGATCCCGTTGATCGTTAGCCCACGGAAAGGACAACAGCGTTTTCGATCCCAACCGCTGACAGCTGCGGTCCGGAGTTTTGCAAATATCTCAGCATCGTTATGATTATATTTCACATAACACCCTGCCGTGAGAAATTGTGGTAGGCAGCAAATAAAAAAGTTAACATAGTTAATATGCTTTATTTGGAATATAATATGAACGTTGCCAGTTGTATCTTTATCTTTTAACTGACGAATGATATGAAAACAGAATGCAAGGTAGGAGACTAGATTTGGTGGAAAATGAAACAAAATAAACAATATGTCCATATTTACAAACTATGACGGCGATTAGATGATATTATGATGAGATAGATATCTATCGTACACAAAGAAAATTGGCGATCACCACGTGAATGGTTGCTGACGTCCTACGAGATATCCCAATTCGCTTTATCTTTTATGCTTGACGTAAACGACGTGGATTTTATGAGCCTCTTAGTCTTGTTACACGTTCAATTTAGCCTCATGATAAAGAGATCCTAAAAATTTACTACTTTTCCTTTGTGCTGAAATTGTTCTTGTGTCGGGTGAGAGGAGTAGTGGTTTTTTCTACTCTAAAGATACTAGCTTCGTTTAATAGCAAGGGATACGTTCTAAGTGAAACTACTATTGGATATTGTAACGGTAGTGATCGAAATTAAGTAAATACAGAAGAGAATAGAATGTAACATGGACCTCTTGAGGTGAAGCACTGCCCATTTATTCAGTTATAACGATGACGTAAGTGATGAAGTTCAGTAAAAGATAAACGGATTTCAATGGGTTATGTGTTCTCACCATGTTATGATGAAGGACTGAACCACATTTCTGTTTGTATTTTATGTTAGCATAATGTTCAGCACTTATGAAGTATAAGATGTTCAAAATTGTTCACTCCATCAAAACACCGTATTGAATGACGCCAGCACTATGAACGGAAACAATATCGTATCTCTGCATATGCCAGATAGACTGTCGCTATACAGTATTAAAGATGACCTGACTGAGTTCTAAGGGTCTATGGAATTTTGGTTGCGTCGAAATTCATACACTGAAATGAGATACGCTACGTCAGTCGATATTAGTTCCACGTTATCGCCGAGGTGATCAATACACATTTTCGGCATGGTGTCGCACCGAATGTACAACAAACTATGCGTAATTTTCATGACGGTTTATAAATTGTATGAGCTGGTGTTTAAAAAAAAACCAAGGTGAAAAGAAAACGTTAACTAATTCCGTGTATACCCGATCACTACAATAGGATATAGTAGCACAAAACAGAGCGAAAGACACAGGTAACGCTTAATGTAGCGTAGTAAGAAGAAGGGAAAGAAAACTCGTGCTTGTTCGTTTAGTTGCTCAACGGCGTATGTTTGAGCAAATAATCAAGTAATTGAAGCGGTCTGTGCAGTTGTACCTCAATCCAGCATGGTGTATCCTGTAAAGTAAATGATTACGGTACCTTTTCTACAAACGATTGTTGCGATTGTTGTGGAAACCTAAAACAAATACATCGTAAAGTCTAATGTTTGATGATGAACCTTTTCAAATGCATGCAATATGGCGTGTCCGACAAAGTGAAAATGTTTTCTCTTTGGCCTATGTTTGAACGAACCTTGATCGAATGACGACTTGGATAACCAGGTCCCCATCCTTTGACAAAACTAATAGCCAACGTGCAGAATGCACTTCGCATTCCATCCACACCAGAATCAGCCATCATTTCAGGGAAATTCTATAAAGCACATATTTCTATGAGTTTCTGGAACTTGAGAACCACAAATGAAACACCAGAATTTGATCATATTGCCATCACTCCTCTATTTTTTAAGCGTATTTCCTGAAAATGGCGCCTGCAGCGCAGTGCTTAAAGGCGCTCAGCGACGCAAACCGGATCGATGGTTGGTTCTTCTCGTCGTTCCGTGTTTACGAAGGCGTTCATCCCTCGGTAGTTGGAAAATTTGCATCAGATTTGTTCTGGAAGGACAAAAACACTGACGTGTTACATTGGTGAGACACCACGAGCTACTCTATGGGCCAGGTACAGATTCAATGTCTAAATTACTGCGCATAGAGTCGAATGCATGATGCATCCATCCCTTAAAGAGTGATGAACGCCAAACGGCTTGTCTTCCAGTTCCTATTTACTGAAATTACCGAGAAGAGAAAGCTTCTAAGGAACCCCTATGGTTGTGACAACGTGATATCACATGAAACTGGACACGGCAGCTGACAATCTTGTGTAAAGTGTTCCAAACAGCAGTTAGCATGCATTTCCAAAAAAGCCTCTTTCGAAGCAATGTTATCCATGTGACGCATTAGTGGTAGTAAGTTGAAGTGGTTTGCTACAAATACGCAACATTCAGTCCGAAAATCTGCGAGCGTGTTAGATAATGAATTGAGGAGATGGTCGTTCGTAGACGAGCTTACAAAGCCCCAATTTTTCAATAACCCAACTCTGAAACTATGGCACCTTTTCTATGGCAGTTAGCCACGATTGATTTATTTGTAAACGAAAAACTGCTTTGCCTTAGCTCTAACAACAGCAGGCTATCCGTTTGGTGCTAACATACCAGTGTCGAATCTCTGAATACCAGTGACGTCTCGGTCTTGTTCTGTTATGCAGTTCATTAACCGAAATGAACAACCTCAACTTACTTCAACGCCTCGGGCGAAACCAGCAACAGCAGCAGCTTGGGCCATAACAGCTTCGCTGGCTGATCGTGTTCTGTACACCATTTCATAGTATGCCCACCTCAGATCGAAAACCTATTGTTAATGGAATAAACAATAACATGTGACACCTAGCCTAAGGTTTACTGTCTATACAAATAAGAGCCACATTGTGGGAAGACTTGTGTGTGCCGTTGATGTGCACGTGAGCTTTAAAGTATAATAGTGCTGGGTGTGTACGCTCGTACATATCCGTATATCTATGTATGTGTGCATGTATGTATCATGACTTCATCTCACAGATTCCTCAAATCACCTTCGTTGCGTCGTTCTCTTGCGTAAAACGATGTGGCCTGTTGCTATACGGTATTTTGTGACAGTAATCAAGGTATCCGGATCGTATAAAGATTGGTTTATGAGATCGGCAAAACATCATCACGTCACCTGACGGCAAAGCTCGCAATTCCACACCGTCGCCGATATGAATTCTGAAATCAACGAGTTCATGGAAACGTTAATTCTAAACAATAATGGAGTAGACACAGGTGGAAAACGTATACTAACCAGATCACACGGCCAAAATTCTCTCACGATATCAACTACTCACCAACTCTTGTAAAGAGCAAGTTAAAAACAATCAGAGGAGATGAGTAATCTACCTTGTCCTTTCGCTGACTTCCCCGCGATGAACATTTGGTAGAGCGCCAAGGCAGACACGACCTTTATGAAGGGACAACGGATCCATGCCGCCATCGACACGAACTTCTTCGTTTCTAATCTAAATTCAATTCTAAATATGCGATCTTCTTTTGCTTAGGACTGATTTAATCGCTTGGTACGCAAGTATATACTGATTTAATGAGATCAACACAATCTCCATTTGTTTCGTAAATAGGTGACCGTCTACCATGAAGGTGATCTTGAATGGTGAATTTTAGCTATTATTATTGAAGTGATGTCCGTCTTCGAGTACGGCCGTACAGCTCATGGATGGTCTTTTAAAAATGATAATATCCTCTTCGAAGAACTCCGTCATTCTTTAACGATCACCTTCGGTGAGCAGGTTTGAAAGAAGTGATGCCGTTGAAGGAATTTTCGGTGGGGCTGAAAATAGGAAAGGTGATGAAGAACGGTATCATTAAAAGATGGTCATTCCTTGGTTGACGACGGCCGGTAGCGCGAAGTTTCTTTCTACCTTTGCGTTTTCATTATAAAAGAGAAAAATCATAGAGTACCCTGTTAGCAATGGATTCTTCCATCATAATATCATATATTACGACGTTTCGGCTTTTTCTTGCTCAATCTCAAACAACCGTTTAAAAAAGGTTTTAAAAGAGAACATGGCCAAATCGATTGAGAACCTCGGATTTACATTCAAATTCCGCACTAACAGTAAACCAGTACCAAGAATGGTTGCCTTCCTCACGAGGTAATAGTATTGAGGAACCAAAGGCTTCTCCGTTCTACAACAGTAGGCGAATTCCCGCGACGATCTAGGAGAATATAATCAAGGCTATGACTCTCAAACCTGTAGGACAAGTTGTCCGAAAGCACTCCGAATTCACCGCAGCTGATCACAACAATCCACCAATCAGGGTGGTTTCTTGTCAAGATTTGTGTAACGCTTTCAGTGCCTCTCAAGCGAACTGGACACCACTGAGCAGCTTCGTTGTGGGTCAAGTGGGTACGGAGGAGAGTTTATTGGTACTAATTCAATTTACCGAATGATAACAGGGATTACAGAGTGAAATACGAAATACGAATAATGAATATGAAATTCAAGTCTCACCTTGAATGTTTCTCCAATTTGTGTATCCAATTCGTAGTAAATTATCGAACACCAGTCGTCTGGCACTATAAAGAAAAAACAAGCATTCAACTCCCAAAGATTGCTTCTAACGTCGCGCTTATCATTCAGTATTCGGAAACGTTCATTAAATCGAGTAACTTACGTGATATTGACGGTAACTGTACTTGACTGAGGTCATCTAAACGAGAACTAGTTAGATATGCGGAAATGGTAGGTGATTTTTTTCCTCTGAGATGGAATTAAAAAATCTTCAATAGGTGTTTCTGTTTGCCGCATAAAAGAAACAAAAGCATATGTGGGAAGACTATAAACAAGAAATTTCAAAGAAATAATGACGTCATAGAAATATACAAACATAACTTAATGGGAGCGCCTTTTAGAATACACTGGTAGATTTCATGTGTTAGTAGATCAATAAAAAGTTTAAAAGCAAGTAAACAGAGAGAAAACAAGAAAAGACAGAACAGAACTGTTTGAAGAGATGTTCAGAAGAGTTGGAAAGCAAATACCTACAATTTTGAATTGCTGCTGCTCCACTTGGAACGGATGAGTGGTTCACTAAAATACAATTTTACTGATATTTTAACAATTTTGTTCTTAGATAGAAAACCTCCGCTAATTGATATTGTTCACCGAGTCATGCATCGAATCCTTAGGTGATTTTTCACGGACAAACAACTTTTTGTTACAAAAATCGCAGATCAGAACTGAGCGCTTCTCAGCACTCACAGTAATTTGTAATGGATCAGATGTTTATTGATATGTTAGATAAGCAGCATGTGTGGATTGTTCATAGGCGAAAGATATATCAAAGGCACAAAACATTAGAAAAAGAACATATCTAGGATTTTATGATGATCTCGTCTGATTGGATAAATCAGATCTTGGACGACGCGTTCACGTTCTAGTGAAGGCGATTTAGGTGAGGTACCCAAGTAAGAAGGAAGACTAACAACGAAACAGTAGAGTCCATAAGGAAGAATCAGAATAATATTGACAGCGACAAACCTGCGTAGGGTTCTTGTTGAGATAAGGCACAAGACGGAGACCATTCGACGAACGCTGGAAACAGAAAAGGTTGTAGACGACTCTTTTCTTGCTTCACATAAGTCAATTTATTTTAAAATTGGTTCACAGTCAGCATTGTCATTTATGATGAATGGAGTTCGTAAGTGACAAAGGCTGGAGTAATTAGAGGCATGGAAACCAGAACTTTCTACAACAGATTCGCATGTTTCTTGGAAGTTCCTATCACGAAAAGCGTGGAGTTCACACCACATCTAGCAGTGTCGTCCAAGACAAAAGGGGTTCACGACTTCAAGGAAGAGTAACCAGACTGTCCACGCCAAAAGTGTGGTATGCTTCAACTCCACAAAGAGGAGTAAGTCCTCTGAGCTGCTTTGAAGCCTACTGATATCACCTCGTGTTATTGAACGATGAGTTAGATTACAGCTGACACAAGCGATATTTACAAAGACCAAAATGCTGTATTGTTAGCGTTAGAAATGCTTAAGGTTCGCTGGAATCACAGCCATGGATCTGTTACCAGTTAGCAGCGAAGCAAGCTGGCATGTCCACAGATAGGGGGTTAATATCGACCAAAAGGAACCTTACACTTCTCTAAAACGCAGGTGGGTCTCGGGGATGGACTCGTTGTTCTTGATGCCTCGATTTGGCACAGATCCTCTTTATATGAGAGGGCGTATTCATGCATGCATGCGTTGATGTGCTCTCTTTTATAAATTCTACGAGCCGATTCGGCTGAAAACCAGCAATCATTGACAAGAAGGTATATGGGAGCTGGTTAGGAATCACCTCCAACAAACAAGTTTCACGACTACTCTGAGAAAGGCTGGCAAGCTACTCATGAGTAGGTCCGACGCTTATGTTTACAGCTCGGCAAGCTGCACGTAGTTATCAAACGCTAAACAGAATAGAACAAAACTCCCTCATTCACCTGACCACGAAAGAGCCCCTAATACGACATGGAGTAAGTGCGGAAAGGCGGATAAAATGCCAAGGCACTTGCATTTCAGACCCCTACAAATGGCCTGATCATGCAGGTAAGAAGGCAAGGTATGATGCCATCAGAGTGGAGAAGACGCCACCCATTCAATGCTCTTTACGACACAGAGGAAGATTTGGTGACCTCGGAGTTGTAGTCAACACATATTTGGCTAACAACATCGATCCCTTCGAACAACTAACGTTTTTTGAATCGGGCGTTTAAGGTTGAAAGGATGTAGATCAATAAAAGCTCCGACAATCTCTGTCGTCTACGCACCGACATCAAAGACGAAGTCGAGGTGTTCTATTTGGTCTTGGAGAAGTTCTAAAGAGAGGATCATGCATTCTTTATGGTCATCTTTGAAGATTTTAACGCTAATTGGACTCAGAAGAACGCGTGAAGAATGAGGACCAACGGATTAGAATGAGACAAAAAGGGTGAGCGGCTGTCTGAGTTTATCAATAACCACCAAGAACATTCATGGTAACACGCAATTAGAAAAGCCCTGTTCTCGACGCAGGACGCGGCAATCACCAAATGGAAAGTGCCAAAGGGTTTTCTTTAAACGATGTCGCTGTTCTCCTAAAATTCTACAGAGAATCAGACCATCGCCTTTTATGTACGAAATCCCACTTCTCGCAGAAAGGAGAGAAAGCCGCTAAATTCATAAAAACAAAGTTTGAAAATCCCCACAAACTGGATTTTATTCAGTTCATTGCCCAGTTCTTGGAAAGATGCCGTTATTGATAACATCAACGAGGAATACGACCGCCTCATTGCTTGCAATGGAGAAAAGAATTCACGATTTCTACCCTTCAATAGCTACGCCTTCTTGCCCTTACACGAAATAAAGGAGGATGGACATGTCGTCTCACCAGTTCTCTCTGAAATCCGTCATGTTCCTTTGTCGGTGAGAAGAAGAGAACAACACATGCTGCGGAGAAAATGAAATCTGAACACCTGAAGAAATTTCCGTCAGTCCTCATAAACATGCTAGCACGGCTCTTCGCATATTATCTGTCAGAACACAAAATTTCTATTCAATGGAAGATCAACAAAACAGTGTTTTTGTTTAAGAATGGTGAATGCCACAATATTGGCAACTATCGCCCAATCAATTTGCTGTTTGTCGTCAACAAACTCTTCATTCGAGTCGACTTAACCAGGATTGGCAGAACAATCGACGGATGACAGCCATTTGAGCAAGCAAGGTTTCGAAAAAGATTTAATACGACTTCCGATTGCTTCAGCGACCTCCATTTCGATGGGGAAATGAACATAATGAATGATTTGGCTCCAGAATTGAGCAGGTGGAAGCAAACAGCTTGCCGGGATTTTAAGAGCATTGAAGACGTAGTGAGGAGAACAAAGAATGCTCGATTCTGTGGTCAACTTTTCGACTCCATGATTATTTTTGCCTTAGCGGATGCGTCAGTTACCCACGCGCAACGTAAGCCGGATGAAAAAACTCTCAGCGTTATAGAACGTGCAGTCGATAGGACTATGGTAGCAGTATCCCATGTTCCACAAGTGAGAGAAGGGCTCCGATGCTCCGACCTATGCTAACAATCAGAACTTAAACACGCTCTTCTAAACGCCAAATTGTCGAAGATAAAATGGGCTAGCCACGTAATGCATTTCAACGCCAACCGGTAGGCTCAATTGTGAGTAAAGAAAAAAATTATGCACCACTTTGAGTCGAAGTTATAGAGGCAATTAAGACACAGAACTCTTCGCTGCACTGTAAAGAACAAAGGTAGGAGCGAAAGATAACGCTCTCGGCGTTGATCAAACCCTAAGGAATGCGCTAAGCATTCGACTTCATTAAGCATCGCTTGGAGATGATTAAGTGCATATCTGGCCTTTACAATAACTCGCAGTGGCCTACCGATGTATTATCAAGCCAGTGCTGCTATTCTCCCAAGCAAGTCTGGCACCAATCTGTCTAGCCGAGAGGGATGGAAGGCTTGGTGAGCCTGGGGCGAAGGAACGAGTCTATGTTTACTGCAGGGCACCTCTAAACACTGCAGTACACGAGCACTGTCAGTAAGGAATAAGTAAAAACAGTTGGACGGCCCCTGTTTTGATGAAGGAAGGATGTATAAGACTGAATGACGTGAAAGGATTTCTTGTGAATCGAACTAGTCCTGAACAGTCTGCTTCGCAATCAAGTTCTAAGAAGTTCGACCAATGTTTGTCTTTATTGAAATCAAACTCTTCTCTCTCGCCGCAGGTTATGCTGGCAAGGATGACACTTAGTACAGTACTTTAGTGACGCTTTTTCTCTACCGTGGATGTTTTCCTCATATATTGCTACAGTTATCAAATCGTCCCGTGTTATAGTTAAGTTTTGATGTGCGTTTTTAACTGAGCTTCTATATATGAACTAGGGATATGAACGCACGTATATTTGAACTCGGGACTGCTTCAGCCATTTCGTAGTCTTGCATCGAGAAATCGGCTTTGGTAACGCTTGAAGACGGTGGAGGTTCAACTCGCAATGACTTCAGATCTGTAACATGTCTTTTACTACATGGCAGAGAATACAAAAACGTTTAACAGAATTTAGAACTTGTGACATCAGCAGCGTAGTCTGTGGATTTCCTACTGTAATTTAACACACTGACCAGATTGTGAGTGTGCCTGTGTGGCCGAATATTGAGAAAAATCCAGTTACTTAGCACATTATATTAATGTTACGCTATAAACGGTAGTAAGATGGGAAAAGCAGATAGGCGAATAATTCAAACCCGGAGACGCTAATCCATTCGATACTACTCGTTCGTAGTGATACGGATTAATGCAGATGAAATCTTGATGCTCTGCTGGTATAGTACACATGGACAGCTTCTAAAGGACGTTATATAAACGGCTTTCAAAGCAAGAAATTCAAATGAAACAATTAAAGAATACTATATAGAAAAAATTAACCTCTACTAGAAAGGAGGATAAAAATGATTCTACCCTATCCAAGTATCAGTAAAGAAATGTCGTTAAACAAAATACTCCCTCATCGCTTCATTAAAAGCTTAAAGAGAAGAAAACAAAGACGAAAAGGAAAGACATATCGATAATCTTACTCAGCTACAACTTGCATTTATCTCACTCCTTCTCTACCGCTCTCGATAGAGGTAGTCGTTTCTCTAGAAGATGTAATCTTCGAGTTTCTTCTCCGAATCTTGAATTAATGGTGATCATATCTTCATCGCCTATTCCTCTAATGACGCTTGCTAACTCTTCTTGTCTACTAAGACGCCTTTTTTTTAACCCGTCGTAAACTTTTTCCACATGTACAACCTAGCTATGGAACACCGTAGATATGGATAAGACATTTCTCAACGACTTGAACAATGAATGCCGGCTCAGTGCTCAGCGATATACCCCAGGCGTAAGAAAACCGTGCTCTTCATGATCACAACTATTTCGATCTGTGTTGTAGCACACCTAAATTTATTCCTTGGACTGGGTATCCAATTTATCGTCCATTTTTTCCCTTCTAGTTTTTTTCTTTCGAAGACGGTGTTTCTCTAGTCCACTACTGAGGATATGAGTTGAAATCCAATAAAATTGAATCACCTTGCCGTCCGTAAAAAATGATTAAGTTTCATTTGTGGTAATGAATGGACCAAAACATTGTTCTGTGAGCCTTTCATCCATTAATTCCAGTATATAAAACAGGAATTCGCTGTCTGTTCACAATTTGTCTAACGTTTCCCAATGATCTCGTTAGAATCCAACATATTGTTTCCAGAGAGAATGTAGAACATAAAAAGATAAAGAAGAAAAAAAAGAACTTTCGAGGATCCACTTACCACAAGCTCATTCTTGTTCACGTTAGGCCATCGCCATATTCGCGCGTAGACGACATGTGGTACCCCTTTTCTACCAGCCACCTGCAGACGACCATCCAGTGATCGCTGAATGATGTGAAGATCACGAGGCAAGAGGATTAAAGTAGAGTCTTAAGAATTAGGATGATCGTACGCTCATTATTTGAGCGGTTTTCTCCGAAATATCCTCGATAACTCCAATGTGCTATGCAAATGAGCGAGCGACTTCTGCATAACGCGCAATATGTAGGTAATGATCGATCAGCAACAAAAATCAATACGCATTCCATGTATTGGTTACATGAGGAAGGAAGTAAGTTATTGATATTATTACGCTCTATCACGAACTATCCGGTGACATATAGCAACTAAGACATTGTCGTAAGAATGATGACTAGGTTGGATCGGATATCAACACCTGTCATCTACAAATCAGCCATTGAAAATGGATAAAATATGCTGAAAATTATGAGTGATGATGAAAAATCTTCAAAATGAACACAGTGAAATTTGGAACAAACATCTCACTTGTATTGTTACACAAGTTGTTGGCTGTTTACCAGCTGACGTCACAGCTGTGATAAGTGCATCAAGTTCGACTCGTTTCTCTTTCAGTTTCTTCACAAGACTCTCGATTGCTTTGCGAACAAATTCTGTGTCTTCGCCGCCCTTGAAAAAAGTCACTGATTTCAGCTATAAATTAATCGATTACTGATTAGTCCCACTTGCTGATAGCATTGTAGCACATGTGAGATCTGCTGACAAGAATCGACCGCCGATGCACCGAATGCCTGTCCACCACCAGCACCAACACCATTGGTGTTGGATGAAAGGAACATAAACGGTGGTGGTACTGACGGATTCGAAGCCGGCATTGAGAAATTCTGGATCATCTGCGATTGCATTGGAATATTTTGGTTCACAGATGGTGGTGCGGCAAGTCGACGATCGTCGAACGGAACCGGCGCCACATGCGGTAGAGGTGGCTGGAATGTGAGAGAAAAAGTTGGACCAGAGAAATCAACTGCCAGAAATGACGAACAGCATTTGATTGAAGATATGAACAACTCTTTTTCCAGTACTGCACAGTCAGCAAATGTTACTTAGTCCTTATGGAAAAGTTATGGTCGTTCTTTAATGTCTATGAGAAAAACCGTAAGTTTTTCGCAGTTGGGCATTTGATAAATCCTCTCAACATGCAAGTCTGGGTGTTTCAATAGTCGTTTCTCTGCATAACGCGCAATATATACCTCACGAAATTGTTTAAATATCTTCGTAGTTGATGCAGGAGTAGGGCATGTTGTAACCCATATAAGGATTCTAGGACACATTCACTTTCCATAATTTCGAATTTTGAGAGAAACAACCACAAATTCAGCGACGATAGTGCATTTAATAAAATAATACGGTTAAGAGAAATCTGAGAAACCGAGAAACTAACAAACTAGGGCGCGTGTGGCGCAGTGGTTGAAGGCGCCACTGCGACACTCACGTAGAATCGATCCCAGCGCCCATGGTCCACCGCACCCTCCATCCCTCTGGGGTCGGTAAACTGGCAGCAAACTTGTCTAGGGGGATAACAGCACTGGCTCGATTCCGGGATAACAGCAAGGCCAGATATGCATTCAATCACCACCAAGCGATGCTTCATGAAGTCGAATACATGGCGCATCCCTCAGGGATTGATCAAGGTCGAGAACTTTATCCTTTATCCCTTTTATGAGAAGCTAAAACAGCAAATGTGTTGTGTAAATTGCAGGCAGCAGATCAAGGCGCGCAGAACGGCAATGCCCACTGGTGGGTTGTATGTGGAAAATATTGTCGGCACCAGTAATTATACTGAATGCTCAATTTTTGAGAAATTGTGAAGTATGCTTTGATAACAGTAATGGTCTCTTTTATTTATTCTTATTTTTCTTTTTATATTTCTCTTCTTTCTTCTTCTTCTTCTTGTTCGTAAGTCTTCAGAAAACAAGTCATACTGGAATGAAGCGAATTAATCACCTGTTGATATTGTGTGATTTGAGGTGGTAGACCGATTGAAAAATTCCCGAAGCAATTCGTTTGTGTTTGCATGCCGCACATCATGTTCGGTTGGTAGGAGTAGGACGATTGAGCAAAAGCATTGTGATTCTGAAACGAAATCAAATTAGTAACATCACTGAGGTCAAATCCACAGTAATCGTTTGATATTTCACAATACACAGTCTTAAAATGTTTTATACTCTGTGAAAAATCCTGTTAATAAGTTTTTATCTGATCTTCAGAATGTTTGGGTCCACTAACCATTCGACAACATTCCTTAACTCCTTATTGTTTTAGCAATGCTCAAATATCTTCCAACTCAGTGCGCATATGCATTGATAGCAATGCGTATTGTTATCAATGTGTTGACAACAGTCCACTCACCATATACTCTTCTTCCGAAGGAGACTGACTAAAGTACGAGGGAGCGGCGGCACCAAACGACGCCTCCGAGCTAATCATCTGCAATAAACGGGCAATGAAGCTATTTCCTAAAATATCTCTAATAATTTTTGAGCAATAATAATTGAGACAACTAAAAAATGATTCTCATATGCGGAGGAGTTTGACAAAAAAACGTGAAAATGATGAGGACAGAAGAGATGAATTGTTAGGAACATGATAGAAAACGAAAAAGGAGGTTTAAAAGGAAATGATGTAATGAATAATTAACAAATAAAAGATGTTTGCCACAGAAAGAATGAGATAAAACTTGATAACATAGAGGCTAGAAGTGGCTGCTCAAATCCTGTTCTTAAAAGCAAAACCTTCGAACTCAAATCCAGGAAAACACAGTTCCACTCAAAGCAAATACAAACGGAACAAAAAAGAATGGATCACATGAAAAGAAAAGAATTTAATGACCGTCTTGCTATTTGCATTAGAATCATAAGCGTTGTAGAGAGACGGATGTCATTTTAGAATTTCCAAAACAATGAATATTCTAGACGTCGATCGATCGCCGCCATCAGAAGAGCTAAGCGTTGCTGACGGCTGTTCGTGCACCCAGTATAGGTGTGTGTGCCTTGGTAGCCGTAGTTGATAAGGGCCAGGTCGATTTTATTGACTAAGCGGAAAGAATTCAAACAACTACGGTAATAACAAAAATATGTCGAGAAATAAGGGTGCGTGTAGCGCGATCGTTGGAGATGTCTTGGAACAGAGACATGGTCTTCGGTACGACATCGTATCTCAGACAAACCAAGCCCTCCGTCCTTTCGGGGTTAGAAAATTCGTACTAGACTTGTCTGAAAGGATCTAAAACACTGCACTATTACATGGATATGCTCTCATAAGCCACCGTATAGTTCTTTTGTGAATTTGGCCACCTGCACGATAGCTCGAATGAGGTCGAATGCATGATGTATTCCTAGTAGATAGATCAACGTAATATGTTCTACCCGCTCTACTCTTTACGAATACACCAGTAATGGCACACATGTGCAGAATAGGAAATAGTAAATTCGTATAGAAACCTGATACTGCACCTGTGTTATCATAATCCCATTACTCACTGACCCAATAATCCGTGATTTTAACACATTACGACCAATAATCCACTATTCTTACATATTGGCAGATTCCAAGCGTGGCACATTTGGCACAAATGTCAGGGTAAATAGGAAAACTAAATCGTGTTTAGGTACCACCATTCTCCGTAGCCACCCACCTTCCGTGTCCTAATAATTTATCGTTTGTTGTGGCTACTGGATATTCCTCAGCATCAGATACGATCTACAAATCCATAACGAAAGAATGAACTCCTCAGCGCGGCCAACTAAGCTGAGTAAAAGTTAAGCGTGCTCATCCGGGACTCCAGAGAGGGGTAAGTCAATGCCACAACAGAGAATTGTAAGATATCCGTGGTCACCTGCTTTCTAAAGACAATTTAATGGAGAAGCCATCATAACAACAGTACGGTGACCCTCGTTTCGTTTAAGCTACTGGAGCCTATTCGATGACTAAAAGTCATTCAGGTGACACAAGCGACAACTAATGCAACATAAAAAGTACTCTGACATGGCTGTAGCACCATCATTCATTATCACATCCTTGATTCGTATTTGGATAAATCTCAATGTTGTAAAAGTGGAATACACAGGGCCTTTTGAAAGCTGTTACTTCAACGTCGGAAGCGAGTTTGATGCTTAGATATATTTGACTAAACAACGACCTAATTATCACAGTGACGTATTTCTTTGTTAAGCCAATCATGTGAAGTTTTTCTTTAAAATCACTCAAAAGTAGTGAGAGCTAAAAATATTCGTCGCTGTATCCGTGTTACAAAAAATAGCTCTGATAATTCAATGCGAGGGCGCGTATGGCGCAGTGGTTGGAGGCGCCACTGCGACAGACACGTGGAACCGATCCCACGCCAATAGCCCACCAAGCCTTCCATCACTCTGAAATCGGCAAATTGGTACCAGACTTGTCTGGAAGGATAGCAGCACTGACTCGATACATCGGCCGCCCAGCGCGAGTCACTGTAAAGGCCAAATTTGCATTCAATCCCCTCCAAACGATACTTAATGAAGTCGAATGCGTGGCGCTTCCCTCAGGGAATGATCAACGCCGAGAGCTTTATCCTTTTTTTAAGAATAAGGTGAAAACAAAAAGAATGAAACTAAAAAGAAATTGAAGCAAAAAACGAAAAAGTGCATAAAAAGAAAACGAAAAAAGAAAGAAAGAAAAAAGAATAAATCAGGTACTTAGCCAACCTTACCAACCTTACAAGCCATTCAGTGCAATTGAAGAAATCTTCAACAGAATTTCCAAATCACGTAACATGGGAAAGGAGGAAGAAGTGGTGAGGAAAAGCTTAATGAATGTAAACAACCCACGCAAGGTACAACAACAAAGTTATTGGCTTTCCAGTGTACTTTTACGTTCTTAGTGTTTATAAACGTTTAACGTTTATATTGTTTAAAAACGTTGATAAACAGCTCCCTAATAAAACTAAAGAAAAGACCCTTGTCAGTAAGTTACCAGCCGGCCACCTTCGTCTTTTACAATGGCGAGAAAATTCGTCACACTTTTGTACAAGAACTAGGGAACGGCATGAAGTGCACACAAATTTCTAACATTTTCCTCAAATATCTTATCCTATAGGAAGCACGTGTAGCGCAGTGGTCGAAGGCGTCCTGCAATGCATATGGGATCGATTCCCGCGCCCCGGACACACCAAGTCTTCCATCCCTTCGCGGTCTACATATTGGTGTTAGACTTGTCTGGGAGGATAGCTGCACTAGTTCGTCACTTCGGTAGGCCACCCTGATATTCGAGATTTTCGAATGTCGAACATTTCGAATGCATCAAGTTGTGCTCGGTGATTGAGTGCTAAGTACGACTTCTACTGTACTTTTGTCTGTGCTGAAATCTCGCTGCTGATCGCCGAGCGAGATGAGGGGAGCAAGTAAAGTCTCTTACATTAGTTATTATCGCGTACCCGCTGTTCTCCATTTTCGAATCAGAATATGAGAACAGTCAGAATTCCCGTCTAGGATATTCATGCGGAAGTTTAGTCATTGGAGTCGGCAACTCTGTAGTCGTGTACTTGCTTGTAAGCAGTGGTCTCAATAAGACTCCCCACTGGTCTCCAATAGGCCCAATCTCGATATCTTGGTGAGTGTGGTAGCGTTTCTTATCTCTGTTATGTTATTACTGTTATTATGTTTTGAAACACCAGATTCCCTTCTCAGTTTTGTGACACGGATGTTCGATAAGGTCTTCGAAAAAGTGTGCTGTACTTTCGTACTGTAAACGAAACGTCGTGTCCGCGATGCATGTTCACGAAGGAAGGACGGGGAAATTTAAGAAGCAGAAGTGAAGGTGAATGTTCATATCCTCCTAACTGTGTCGTTTTCTTGTTCAGCAATCGCGAGGTTTTCAAACAGCATACGTTTACTTCCATAAAAAACAATACAATACAACGCTAGCTGACGTTTCGGCAGTATCGCCTTCTTCAGAGCCTGGAAGGGTATACTGATATACAATCTACTAGGCCAAACGCTTCAATAACACTTACAAAAAGACGAAAAACGTTACAGGTGTCACATGATCAACAACTTCTCGAAAAAACCCACCGCTTTTTTCGTGACTTCCAATGAGGAAGTTTAGAACAGCTGATTATATTCGCATGTGGTTGACGACTGCACCATCCCACATCAAAAATCGATGCGAACGTACGGGATCAGGTCGCGTATGACCTCCGGGCATTCGTCCCTGCTATTCATTGTAGGGCTTTTGGCATTGATCCAAAAAGCCTCAAGGAGTTTTCGCGCTGGTGTTTTGGACTCCTGTGCAAGGATATTGACTTTCACTTCAAAATCGTCTCCGCTATGCTTTTGTATCCTATGCGTGCCTAGTGAGGTGCTTCGTCTTAGTTTTCGTTTGCCATCTAGGTGTTCTTTTATACGGATACACAAAGGTCTGCCCGTTTCGCCAATATATTCATCTCCGCAATTATTACAAGAGATCAGGTATATCGTACCTGAACTCATGCAATCACCGTCCCTGCCGTAAGGGCAAATTACGCAATTTTTTCGAGAAGTTGTTGATCGTGTAATTACCAAAGAGTCTTTCGTCTTTTTGTAAGTGTTATTGAAGCGTTTGGCGTAGTTGATTGTACATCAGCATACCCTTCCAGGCTCTGAAGAAGGCGATACTGCCGAAACGTCAGCTAGTGTTGTATTGTATTGTGTTTTTTTTTTTTTATGGAAGTAAATGTATGCTGTTTAAAAACCTCGCAATTGCTGAAGAAGAAAACGGCACATTCATATACCAATGCCGAGGTTAACAGAAAGTCGATCCTGGGAACCTCCTAACTGTATCCTCAACGTCTTTTTGTATGCTTTCCTGTTAGCTCGTGCTTCCTGGACAGCTATAGAGCAAAGATGTTAACGGTGTCCCGACCCATATTCACATAGCTGCGGCGTTCGGAATTACTCTTTCCATGAATTGGGCATGAATTGGATCTTTGGAACTATGCAGTTTTTCACGAAGTGTTTCTTTTAGGCCGATTTTTCTACACGCTCTCTCGAAATCGAGTGGCAGTAGCTCCCGCTGACTAATGGTTCCTGTTACAGGAACGATGTCATAAGCAAAGCAAAAGTAATTTACGTGCTGGTTATCGAATTTTACTATTTTGCTCTCCTATTTCATTTTTTTTACAATGTTTTCGAAAGTACCGTTGAATAGCTTTACAAGATGGCATTGCGCTTTTCACTCGTCTTCATGTGTCTATGACGATGTCGTTAGAAAGTGGTTAGCCTTTTGCAGAGAAGTTGCCGTGCAGCTTACCAGGAGCGTTTGTGTAGCCCTTAAGAACGCCACTTGTCTAAAGATTCCACCATAAAGATGTTATCATTTTCTAAGCGTCCCACCAACATTTCGTTCCTTATGGAACCAAAGACGTTTCTCAAATCGATTTAAGTATGACGGACCGGCATTTTGTACTTGTGCGG